GGAAGCGCAACTGTTGCTGGGTCTTGATGCGGTGCTTAGGTCATGCAATAACACCATTCAAATGAGTCGGAATCATCAGCTGTGCCGAAATGACAGCTCCAGTTCGTGTACTCACGTTGTTCACTCGTTGCCCATGTCTGGTTGCATGTCTGGTTGCATATCTGTGCTTGCATCCAACACCGCACGAAGATGGGAAGCGCAACTGCTGCTGGGTCTTGATGCGGTGCTTAGGTCACGCAATAACACCTTCATTGAGTCGGAATCATCGGCTGTGCCGAAATGACAGCTCCAGTTCGTGTACTACACGTTGTTCACTCGTTGCCCATGTCTGGTTGCATGTCTGGTTGCATGTCTGTGCTTGCATCCAACACCGCACGAAGATGGGAAGCGCAACTGCTGCTGGGTCTTGATGCGGTGCTTAGGTCATGCAATAACACCATTCAATTGAGTCGGAATCATCAGCTGTGCCGAAATGACAGCTCTACTTCGTGTACTACACGTTGTTCACTCGTTGCCCATGTCTGGTTGCATGTCTGGTTGCATGTCTGTGCTTGCATCCAACACCGCACGAAGATGGGAAGCGCAACTGTTGCTGGCTCTTGATGCGGTGCTTAGGTCATGCAATAACACCTCTTGATGAGTCGGAATCATCAGCTGTGCCGAAATGACAGCTCCAGTTCGTGTACTACACGTTGTTCACTCGTTGCCCATGTCTGGTTGCATGTCTGGTTGCATGTCTGTGCTTGCATCCAACACCGCACGAAGATGGGAAGCGCAACTGTTGCTGGGTCTTGATGCGGTGCTTAGGTCATGCAATAACACCATTCAATTGAGTCGGAATCATCAGCTGTGCCGAAATGACAGCTCCAGTTCGTGTACTACACGTTGTTCACTCGTTGCCCATGTCTGGTTGCATGTCTGGTTGCATGTCTGTGCTTGCATCAACACCGCACGAAGATGGGAAGCGCAACTGTTGCTGGGTCTTGATGCGGTGCTTAGGTCATGCAATAACACCATTCAATTGAGTCGGAATCATCAGCTGTGCCGAAATGACAGCTCCAGTTCGTGTACTACACGTTGTTCACTCGTTGCCCATGTCTGGTTGCATGTCTGGTTGCATGTCTGTGCTTGCATCCGACACCGCACGAAGATGGGAAGCGCAACTGTTGCTGGCTCTTGATGCGGTGCTTAGGTCATGCAATAACACCTCTTGATGAGTCGGAATTATCGGCTGTGCCGAAATGACAGCTCCAGTTCGTGTACTACACGTTGTTCACTCGTTGCCCATGTCTGGTTGCATGTCTGGTTGCATGTCTGTGGTTGCATCCAACACCGCACGAAGATGGGAAGCGCAACTGCTGCTGGGTCTTGATGCGGTGCTTAGGTCATGCAATAACACCATTCAATTGAGTCGGAATCATCAGCTGTGCCGAAATGACAGCTCCAGTTCGTGTACTACACGTTGTTCACTCGTTGCCCATGTCTGGTTGCATGTCTGGTTGCATGTCTGTGCTTGCATCCAACACCGCACGAAGATGGGAAGCGCAACTGTTGCTGGCTCTTGATGCGGTGCTTAGGTCATGCAATAACACCATTCAATTGAGTCGGAATCATCAGCTGTGCCGAAATGACAGCTTTAGTTCGTGTACCGCACGTTGTTCACTCGTTGCCCATGTCTGGTTGCATGTCTGGTTGCATGTCTGTGCTTGCATCCAACACCGCACGAAGATGGGAAGCGCAACTGTTGCTGGCTCTTGATGCGGTGCTTAGGTCATGCAATAACACCTCTTCAATTGAGTCGGAATCATCAGCTGTGCCGAAATGACAGCTCCAGTTCGTGTACTACACGTTGTTCACTCGTTGCCCATGTCTGGTTGCATGTCTGGTTGCATGTCTGTGCTTGCATCCAACACCGCACGAAGATGGGAAGCGCAACTGTTGCTGGGTCTTGATGCGGTGCTTAGGTCATGCAATAACACCATTCAATTGAGTCGGAATCATCAGCTGTGCCGAAATGACAGCTCCAGTTCGTGTACCGCACGTTGTTCACTCGTTGCCCATGTCTGGTTGCATGTCTGGTTGCATGTCTGTGCTTGCATCCAACACCGCACGAAGATGGGAAGCGCAACTGTTGCTGGCTCTTGATGCGGTGCTTAGGTCACGCAATAACACCTCTTGATGAGTCGGAACCATCGGCTGTGCCGAAATGACAGCTCCAGTTCGTGTACTACACGTTGTTCACTCGTTGCCCATGTCTGGTTGCATGTCTGGTTGCATGTCTGTGCTTGCATCCAACACCGCACGAAGATGGGAAGCGCAACTGTTGCTGGCTCTTGATGCGGTGCTTAGGTCATGCAATAACACCATTCAATTGAGTCGGAATCATCAGCTGTGCCGAAATGACAGCTCCAGTTCGTGTACCGCACGTTGTTCACTCGTTGCCCATGTCTGGTTGCATGTCTGGTTGCATGTCTGTGCTTGCATCCAACACCGCACGAAGATGGGAAGCGCAACTGTTGCTGGCTCTTGATGCGGTGCTTAGGTCATGCAATAACACCATTCAATTGAGTCGGAATCATCAGCTGTGCCGAAATGACAGCTCCAGTTCGTGTACTACACGTTGTTCACTCGTTGCCCATGTCTGGTTGCATGTCTGGTTGCATGTCTGTGCTTGCATCAACACCGCACGAAGATGGGAAGCGCAACTGTTGCTGGCTCTTGATGCGGTGCTTAGGTCATGCAATAACACCATTTAATTGAGTCGGAATCATCAGCTGTGCCGAAATGACAGCTCCAGTTCGTGTCCTACACGTTGTTCACTCGTTGCCCATGTCTGGTTGCATGTCTGGTTGCATGTCTGTGCTTGCATCCAACACCGCACGAAGATGGGAAGCGCAACTGTTGCTGGGTCTTGATGCGGTGCTTAGGTCATGCAATAACACCATTCAATTGAGTCGGAATCATCAGCTGTGCCGAAATGACAGCTCCAGTTCGTGTACTACACGTTGTTCACTCGTTGCCCATGTCTGGTTGCATGTCTGGTTGCATGTCTGTGCTTGCATCCAACACCGCACGAAGATGGGAAGCGCAACTGTTGCTGGCTCTTGATGCGGTGCTTAGGTCATGCAATAACACCATTCAATTGAGTCGGAATCATCAGCTGTGCCGAAATGACAGCTCCAGTTCGTGTACTACACGTTGTTCACTCGTTGCCCATGTCTGGTTGCATGTCTGGTTGCATGTCTGTGCTTGCATCCAACACCGCACGAAGATGGGAAGCGCAACTGTTGCTGGCTCTTGATGCGGTGCTTAGGTCATGCAATAACACCATTCAATTGAGTCGGAATCATCAGCTGTGCCGAAATGACAGCTCCAGTTCGTGTACCTCACGTTGTTCACTCGTTGCCCATGTCTGGTTGCATGTCTGGTTGCATGTCTGTGCTTGCATCCAACACCGCACGAAGATGGGAAGCGCAACTGTTGCTGGCTCTTGATGCGGTGCTTAGGTCATGCAATAACACCATTCAATTGAGTCGGAATCATCAGCTGTGCCGAAATGACAGCTCCAGTTCGTGTACTGCACGTTGTTCACTCGTTGCCCATGTCTGGTTGCATGTCTGGTTGCATGTCTGTGCTTGCATCCAACACCGCACGAAGATGGGAAGCGCAACTGTTGCTGGCTCTTGATGCGGTGCTTAGGTCATGCAATAACACCATTCAATTGAGTCGGAATCATCAGCTGTGCCGAAATGACAGCTCCAGTTCGTGTACTACACGTTGTTCACTCGTTGCCCATGTCTGGTTGCATGTCTGGTTGCATGTCTGTGCTTGCATCCAACACCGCACGAAGATGGGAAGCGCAACTGTTGCTGGCTCTTGATGCGGTGCTTAGGTCATGCAATAACACCATTCAATTGAGTCGGAATCATCAGCTGTGCCGAAATGACAGCTCCAGTTCGTGTACTACACGTTGTTCACTCGTTGCCCATGTCTGGTTGCATGTCTGGTTGCATGTCTGTGCTTGCATCCAACACCGCACGAAGATGGGAAGCGCAACTGTTGCTGGGTCTTGATGCGGTGCTTAGGTCATGCAATAACACCATTCAATTGAGTCGGAATCATCAGCTGTGCCGAAATGACAGCTCCAGTTCGTGTACTACACGTTGTTCACTCGTTGCCCATGTCTGGTTGCATGTCTGGTTGCATGTCTGTGCTTGCATCCAACACCGCACGAAGATGGGAAGCGCAACTGTTGCTGGCTCTTGATGCGGTGCTTAGGTCATGCAATAACACCATTCAATTGAGTCGGAATCATCAGCTGTGCCGAAATGACAGCTCCAGTTCGTGTACTACACGTTGTTCACTCGTTGCCCATGTCTGGTTGCATGTCTGGTTGCATGTCTGTGCTTGCATCCAACACCGCACGAAGATGGGAAGCGCAACTGTTGCTGGGTCTTGATGCGGTGCTTAGGTCATGCAATAACACCATTCAATTGAGTCGGAATCATCAGCTGTGCCGAAATGACAGCTCCAGTTCGTGTACTACACGTTGTTCACTCGTTGCCCATGTCTGGTTGCATGTCTGGTTGCATGTCTGTGCTTGCATCCAACACCGCACGAAGATGGGAAGCGCAACTGTTGCTGGGTCTTGATGCGGTGCTTAGGTCATGCAATAACACCATTCAATTGAGTCGGAATCATCAGCTGTGCCGAAATGACAGCTCCAGTTCGTGTACTACACGTTGTTCACTCGTTGCCCATGTCTGGTTGCATGTCTGGTTGCATGTCTGTGCTTGCATCCAACACCGCACGAAGATGGGAAGCGCAACTGTTGCTGGCTCTTGATGCGGTGCTTAGGTCACGCAATAACACCTCTTGATGAGTCGGAACCATCGGCTGTGCCGAAATGACAGCTCCAGTTCGTGTACCGCACGTTGTTCACTCGTTGCCCATGTCTGGTTGCATGTCTGGTTGCATGTCTGTGCTTGCATCCAACACCGCACGAAGATGGGAAGCGCAACTGTTGCTGGCTCTTGATGCGGTGCTTAGGTCATGCAATAACACCATTCAATTGAGTCGGAATCATCAGCTGTGCCGAAATGACAGCTCCAGTTCGTGTACTACACGTTGTTCACTCGTTGCCCATGTCTGGTTGCATGTCTGGTTGCATGTCTGTGCTTGCATCCAACACCGCACGAAGATGGGAAGCGCAACTGTTGCTGGCTCTTGATGCGGTGCTTAGGTCACGCAATAACACCTCTTGATGAGTCGGAACCATCGGCTGTGCCGAAATGACAGCTCCAGTTCGTGTACTACACGTTGTTCACTCGTTGCCCATGTCTGGTTGCATGTCTGGTTGCATGTCTGTGGTTGCATCCAACACCGCACGAAGATGGGAAGCGCAACTGTTGCTGGCTCTTGATGCGGTGCTTAGGTCACGCAATAACACCATTCAATTGAGTCGGAATCATCAGCTGTGCCGAAATGACAGCTCCAGTTCGTGTACTACACGTTGTTCACTCGTTGCCCATGTCTGGTTGCATGTCTGGTTGCATGTCTGTGCTTGCATCCAACACCGCACGAAGATGGGAAGCGCAACTGTTGCTGGCTCTTGATGCGGTGCTTAGGTCACGCAATAACACCTCTTGATGAGTCGGAATTATCGGCTGTGCCGAAATGACAGCTCCAGTTCGTGTACTGCACGTTGTTCACTCGTTGCCCATGTCTGGTTGCATGTCTGGTTGCATGTCTGTGGTTGCATCCAACACCGCACGAAGATGGGAAGCGCAACTGTTGCTGGCTCTTGATGCGGTGCTTAGGTCATGCAATAACACCATTCAATTGAGTCGGAATCATCAGCTGTGCCGAAATGACAGCTCCAGTTCGTGTACTACACGTTGTTCACTCGTTGCCCATGTCTGGTTGCATGTCTGGTTGCATGTCTGTGCTTGCATCCAACACCGCACGAAGATGGGAAGCGCAACTGTTGCTGGCTCTTGATGCGGTGCTTAGGTCACGCAATAACACCTCTTGATGAGTCGGAATCATCAGCTGTGCCGAAATGACAGCTCCAGTTCGTGTACTACACGTTGTTCACTCGTTGCCCATGTCTGGTTGCATGTCTGGTTGCATGTCTGTGCTTGCATCCAACACCGCACGAAGATGGGAAGCGCAACTGTTGCTGGGTCTTGATGCGGTGCTTAGGTCATGCAATAACACCATTCAATTGAGTCGGAATCATCAGCTGTGCCGAAATGACAGCTCCAGTTCGTGTACTGCACGTTGTTCACTCGTTGCCCATGTCTGGTTGCATGTCTGGTTGCATGTCTGTGGTTGCATCCAACACCGCACGAAGATGGGAAGCGCAACTGTTGCTGGCTCTTGATGCGGTGCTTAGGTCATGCAATAACACCATTCAATTGAGTCGGAATCATCAGCTGTGCCGAAATGACAGCTCCAGTTCGTGTACTACACGTTGTTCACTCGTTGCCCATGTCTGGTTGCATGTCTGGTTGCATGTCTGTGGTTGCATCCAACACCGCACGAAGATGGGAAGCGCAACTGTTGCTGGCTCTTGATGCGGTGCTTAGGTCATGCAATAACACCTCTTGATGAGTCGGAATCATCGGCTGTGCCGAAATGACAGCTCCAGTTCGTGTATTACACGTTGTTCACTCGTTGCCCATGTCTGGTTGCATGTCTGGTTGCATGTCTGTGGTTGCATCCAACACCGCACGAAGATGGGAAGCGCAACTGTTGCTGGCTCTTGATGCGGTGCTTAGGTCATGCAATAACACCATTCAATTGAGTCGGAATCATCAGCTGTGCCGAAATGACAGCTCCAGTTCGTGTACTGCACGTTGTTCACTCGTTGCCCATGTCTGGTTGCATGTCTGGTTGCATGTCTGTGCTTGCATCCAACACCGCACGAAGATGGGAAGCGCAACTGTTGCTGGGTCTTGATGCGGTGCTTAGGTCATGCAATAACACCTTTTGAATGAGTCGGAATCATCGGCTGTGCCGAAATGACAGCTCCAGTTCGTGTACTGCACGTTGTTCACTCGTTGCCCATGTCTGGTTGCATGTCTGGTTGCATGTCTGTGGTTGCATCCAACACCGCACGAAGATGGGAAGCGCAACTGTTGCTGGCTCTTGATGCGGTGCTTAGGTCATGCAATAACACCACTTGATGAGTCGGAATCATCGGCTGTGCCGAAATGACAGCTCCAGTCGTGTACTGCACGTTGTTCACTCGTTGCCCATGTCTGGTTGCATGTCTGGTTGCATGTCTGTGCTTGCATCCGACACCGCACGAAGATGGGAAGCGCAACTGTTGCTGGGTCTTGATGCGGTGCTTAGGTCATGCAATAACACCATTCAATTGAGTCGGAATTATCGGCTGTGCCGAAATGACAGCTCCAGTTCGTGTACACGTTGTTCACTCGTTGCCCATGTCTGGTTGCATGTCTGGTTGCATGTCTGTGCTTGCATCCAACACCGCACGAAGATGGGAAGCGCAACTGTTGCTGGGTCTTGATGCGGTGCTTAGGTCATGCAATAACACCATTCAATTGAGTCGGAATCATCAGCTGTGCCGAAATGACAGCTCCAGTTCGTGTACTCGCCCGTTGTTCACTCGTTGCCCATGTCTGGTTGCATGTCTGGTTGCATGTCTGTGCTTGCATCCAACACCGCACGAAGATGGGAAGCGCAACTGTTGCTGGGTCTTGATGCGGTGCTTAGGTCATGCAATAACACCATTCAATTGAGTCCGAATCATCAGCTGTGCCGAAATGACAGCTCCAGTTCGTGTACCACACGTTGTTCACTCGTTGCCCATGTCTGGTTGCATGTCTGGTTGCATGTCTGTGCTTGCATCCAACACCGCACGAAGATGGGAAGCGCAACTGTTGCTGGATCTTGATGCGGTGCTTAGGTCACGCAATAACACCTCTTGATGAGTCGGAATCATCAGCTGTGCCGAAATGACAACTCCAGTTCGTGTACCACACGTTGTTCACTCGTTGCCCATGTCTGGTTGCATATCTGGTTGCATGTCTGTGCTTGCATCAACACCGCACGAAGATGGGAAGCGCAACTGTTGCTGGGTCTTGATGCGGTGCTTAGGTCATGCAATAACACCTTTCAAATGAGTCGGAATCATCAGCTGTGCCGAAATGACAGCTCCAGGTCGTGTACTACACGTTGTTCACTCGTTGCCCATGTCTGGTTGCATGTCTGGTTGCATGTCTGTGGTTGCATCCAACACCGCACGAAGATGGGAAGCGCAACTGTTACTGGATCTTGATGCGGTGCTTAGGTCATGCAATAACACCATTCAATTGAGTCAGAATCATCAGCTGTGCCGAAATGACAGCTCCAATTCGTGTACTACACGTTGTTCACTCGTTGCCCATGTCTGGTTGCATGTCTGGTTGCATGTCTGTGCTTGCATCCAACACCGCACTGAAGATGAGAAGCGCAACTGCTGCTGGCTCTTGATGCGGTGCTTAGGTCATGCAATAACACCATTCAATTGAGTCGGAATCATCAGCTGTGCCGAAATGACAGCTCCAGTTCGTGTACTACCGTTGTTCACTCGTTGCCCATGTCTGGTTGCATGTCTGGTTGCATGTCTGTGCTTGCGTCCAACACCGCACGAAGATGGGAAGCACAACTGTTGCTGGGTCTTGATGCGGTGCTTGGGTCATGCAATAACACCATTCAATTGAGTCGGAATCATCAGCTGCGCCGAAATGACAGCTCCAGTTCGTGTACTACACGTTGTTCACTCGTTGCCCATGTCTGGTTGCATGCTGGTGCATGTCTGTGCTTGCATCCAACACCGCACGAAGATGGGAAGCGCAACTGCTGCTGGGTCTTGATGCGGTGCTTAGGTCATGCAATAACACCATTCAGTGAGTCGGAATCATCAGCTGTGCCGAAATGACAGCTCCAGTTCGTGTACTACACGTTGTTCACTCGTTGCCCATGTCGGGTTGCATGTCTGGTTGCTGTGTGGTTGCATCCAACACCGCACGAAGATGGGAAGCACAACTGTTGCTGGGTCTTGATGCGGTGCTTAGGTCATGCAATAACACCATTCAATTGAGTCGGAATCATCAGCTGTGCCGAAATGACGGCTCCAGTTCGTGTACTACACGTTGTTCACTCGTTGCCCATGTCTGGTTGCATGTCTGGTTGCATGTCTGTGCTTGCATCCAACACCGCACGAAGATGGGAAGCGCAACTGCTGCTGGGTCTTGATGCGGTGCTTAGGTCATGCAATAACACCATTCAATTGAGTCGGAATCATCATCTGCGCCAAAATGACAGCTCCAGTTCGTGTCCTACACGTTATTCACTCGTTGCCCATGTCTGGATGCATGTCTGGTTGCATGTCTGTGCTTGCATCCAACACCGCACAAAGATGGGAAGCGCAACTGCTGCTGGGTCTTGATGCGGTGCTTAGGGCATGCAATAACACCATTTGATGAGTCGGAATCATCGGCTGCGCCGAAATGACAGCTCCAGTTCGTGTACTACACACGTTGTTCACTCGTTGCCCATGTCTGGTTTGCATGTCTAGTTGCATGTCTGTGCTTGCATCCAACACCGCACGAAGATGGGAAGCGCAACTGTTGCTGGGTCTTGATGCGGTGCTTAGGTCATGCAATAACACCATTCAATTGAGTCGGAATCATCAGCTGTGCCGAAATGACAGCTCCAGTTCGTGTACTGCACGTTGTTCACTCGTTGCCCATGTCTGGTTGCATGTCTGGTTGCATGTCTGTGCTTGCATCCGGCACCGCACGAAGATGGGAAGCGCAACTGTTGCTGGCTCTTGATGCGGTGCTTAGGTCATGCAATAACACCATTCAAATGAGTCGGAATCATCAGCTGTGCCGAAATGACAGCTCCAGTTCGTGTACTACACGTTGTTCACTCGTTGCCCATGTCTGGTTGCATGTCTGGTTGCATCGTCTGTGCTTGCATCCAACACCGCACGAAGATGGGAAGCGCAACTGTTGCTGGGTCTTGATGCGGTGCTTAGGTCATGCAATAACACCATTCAATTGAGTCGGAATCATCAGCTGTGCCGAAATGACAGCTCCAGTTCGTGTACTACACGTTGTTCACTCGTTGCCCATGTCTGGTTGCATGTCTGGTTGCATGTCTGTGCTTGCATCCAACACCGCACGAAGATGGGAAGCGCAACTGTTGCTGGCTCTTGATGCGGTGCTTAGGTCATGCAATAACACCATTCAATTGAGTCGGAATCATCAGCTGTGCCGAAATGACAGCTCCAGTTCGTGTACTACACGTTGTTCACTCGTTGCCCATGTCTGGTTGCATGTCTGGTTGCATGTCTGTGCTTGCATCCAACACCGCACGAAGATGGGAAGCGCAACTGTTGCTGGCTCTTGATGCGGTGCTTAGGTCATGCAATAACACCATTCTTATTGAGTCGGAATCATCAGCTGTGCCGAAATGACAGCTCCAGTTCGTGTACTACACGTTGTTCACTCGTTGCCCATGCTGGTTCATGTCTGGTTGCATGTCTGTGCTTGCATCCAACACCGCACGAAGATGGGAAGCGCAACTGTTGCTGGGTCTTGATGCGGTGCTTAGGTCATGCAATAACACCATTCAATTGAGTCGGAATCATCAGCTGTGCCGAAATGACAGCTCCAGTTCGTGTACTACACGTTGTTCACTCGTTGCCCATGTCTGGTTGCATGTCTGGTTGCATGTCTGTGCTTTGCATCCAACACCGCACGAAGATGGGAAGCGCAACTGTTGCTGGGTCTTGATGCGGTGCTTAGGTCATGCAATAACACCATTCAATTGAGTCGGAATCATCAGCTGTGCCGAAATGACAGCTCCAGTTCGTGTACTACACGTTGTTCACTCGTTGCCCATGTCTGGTTGCATGTCTGGTTGCATGTCTGTGCTTGCATCCAACACCGCACGAAGATGGGAAGCGCAACTGCTGCTGGGTCTTGATGCGGTGCTTAGGTCATGCAATAACACCATTCAATTGAGTCGGAATCATCAGCTGTGCCGAAATGACAGCTCCAGTTCGTGTACTACACGTTGTTCACTCGTTGCCCATGTCTGGTTGCATGTCTGGTTGCATGTCTGTGCTTGCATCCAACACCGCACGAAGATGGGAAGCGCAACTGTTGCTGGCTCTTGATGCGGTGCTTAGGTCATGCAATAACACCATTCAAATGAGTCGGAATCATCATCTGCGCCGAAGTGACAGCTCCAGTTCGTGTATTGCACGTTGTTCACTCGTTACCCATGTCTGGTTGCATGTCTGGTTGCATGTCTGTGCTTGCATCCAACACCGCACGAAGATGGGAAGCGCAACTGTTGCTGGGTCTTGATGCGGTGCTTAGATCATGCAATAACACCATTCAATTGAGTCGGAATCATCAGCTGCGCCGAAATGACAGCTCCACTTCGTGTACTACACGTTGTTCACTCGTTGCCCATGTCTGGTTGCATGTCTGGCTTCTGTGCTTGCATCCAACACCGCACGAAGATGGGAAGCGCAACTGTTGCTGGCTCTTGATGCGGTGCTTAGGTCATGCAATAACACCATTCAATTGAGTCGGAATCATCAGCTGTGCTGAAATGACAGCTCCAGTTCGTGTACTGCACGTTGTTCACTCGTTGCCCATGTCTGGTTGCATGTCTGGTTGCATGTCTGTGCTTGCATCCAACACCGCACGAAGATGGGAAGCGCAACTGTTGCTGGCTCTTGATGCGGTGCTTAGGTCATGCAATAACACCATTCACGTGAGTCGGAATCATCAGCTGTGCCGAAATGACAGCTCCAGTTCGTGTACCGCACGTTGTTCACTCGTTGCCCATGTCTGGTTGCATGTCTGGTTGCATGTCTGTGCTTGCATCCAACACCGCACGAAGATGGGAAGCGCAACTGTTGCTGGCTCTTGATGCGGTGCTTAGGTCATGCAATAACACCATCTTGATGGAGTCGGAATCATCAGCTGTGCCGAAATGACAGCTCCAGTTCGTGTACTGCACGTTGTTCACTCGTTGCCCATGTCTGGTTGCATGTCTGGTTGCATGTCTGTGCTTGCATCCAACACCGCACGAAGATGGGAAGCGCAACTGCTGCTGGGTCTTGATGCGGTGCTTAGGTCATGCAATAACACCATTCAATTGAGTCGAATCATCAGCTGCGCCGAAATGACAGCTCCAGTTCGTGTACTACACGTTGTTCACTCGTTGCCCATGTCTGGTTGCATGTCTGGTTGCATGTCTGTGCTTGCATCCAACACCGCACGAAGATGGGAAGCGCAACTGTTGCTGGCTCTTGATGCGGTGCTTAGGTCATGCAATAACACCATTCAATTGAGTCGGAATCATCAGCTGTGCCGAAATGACAGCTCCAGTTCGTGTACCGCACGTTGTTCACTCGTTGCCCATGTCTGGTTGCATGTCTGGTTGCATGTCTGTGCTTGCATCCAACACCGCACGAAGATGGGAAGCGCAACTGTGCTGGCTCTTGATGCGGTGCTTAGGTCATGCAATAACACCATTCAATTGAGTCGGAATCATCAGCTGTGCCGAAATGACAGCTCCAGTTCGTGTACTACACGTTGTTCACTCGTTACCCATGTCTGGTTGCATGTCTGGTTGCATGTCTGTGCTTGCATCCAACACCGCACGAAGATGGGAAGCGCAACTGTTGCTGGCTCTTGATGCGGTGCTTAGGTCATGCAATAACACCATTCAATTGAGTCGGAATCATCAGCTGTGCCGAAATGACAGCTCCAGTTCGTGTACTGCACGTTGTTCACTCGTTGCCCATGTCTGGTTGCATGTCTGGTTGCATGTCTGTGCTTGCATCCAACACCGCACGAAGATGGGAAGCGCAACTGTTGCTGGTCTTGATGCGGTGCTTAGGTCACGCAATAACACCTCTTGATTGAGTCGGAATCATCAGCTGCGCCGAAATGACAGCTCCAGGTCGTGTACTCACGTTGTTCACTCGTTGCCCATGTCTGGCTGTGCATGTCTGGTTGCATGTCTGTGCTTGCGTCCAACACCGAACGAAGATGGGAAGCGCAACTGTTGCTGGCTCATGATGCGGTGCTTAGATCACTCGATACCACCTCTTGAATTGAGTCGAACCATCAGCTGTGCCGAAATGACAGCTCCAGTTCGTGTATTGCACGTTGTTTCTCACTCGTTGCCCATGTCTGGTTGCATGTCTGGTTGCATGTCTGTGCTTGCATCCAACACCGCACGAAGATGGAAGCGTATTTGCTGGCTCTTGATGCGGTGCTTAGGTCACCAATAACACCATTCAATTGAGTCGGAATCATCAGCTGCGCCGAAATGACAGCTCCAGTTCGTGTACTACACGTTGTTCACCCGTTGCCCATGTCTGGTTGCATGTCTGGTTGCATGTCTGGTTGCATGTATGTGCTTGCATCCAACACCGCACGAAGATGGGAAGCGCAACTGTTGCTGGCTCTTGATGCGGTGCTTAGGTCACTCGATAACACCATTTATGAGTCGGAATCATCAGCTGTGCCGAAATGACAGCTCCAGTTCGTGTACCGCACGTTGTTCACTCGTTGCCCATGTCTGGTTGATGTCTGGTTGCATGTCTGTGCTTGCATCCAACACCGCACGAAGATGGGAAGCGCAACTGTTGCTGGCTCTTGATGCGGTGCTTAGATCATGCGATAACACCATTCAATTGAGTCGGAATCATCAGCTGTGCCGAAATGACAGCTCCAGTTCGTGTACCACACGTTGTTCACTCGTTGCCCATGTCTGGTTGCATGTCTGGTTGCATGTCTGTGCTTGCATCCAACACCGCACGAAGATGGGAAGCGCAACTGTTGCTGGCTCTTGATGCGGTGCTTAGGTCATGCAATAACACCATTCAATTGAGTCGGAATCATCAGCTGTGCTGAAATGACAGCTCCAGTTCGTGTACTGCACGTTGTTCACTCGTTGCCCATGTCTGGTTGCATATCTGGTTGCATGTCTGTGCTTGCATCCAACACCGCACGAAGATGGGAAGCGCAACTGCTGCTGGGTCTTGATGCCGTGCTTAGGTCATGCAACTAACACCTTTCAAATTGAGTCGGAATCATCAGCTGTGCCGAAATGACAGCTCCAGTTCGTGTACTGCACGTTGTTCACTCGTTGCCCATGTCTGGTTGCATGTCTGGTTGCATGTCTGTGCTTGCATCCAACACCGCACGAAGATGGGAAGCGCAACTGTTGCTGGGTCTTGATGCGGTGCTTAGGTCATTGCAATAACACCATTCAATTGAGTCGGAATCATCAGCTGTGCCGAAATGACAGCTCAGTTCGTGTACTACACGTTGTTCACTCGTTGCCCATGTCTGGTTGCATGTCTGGTTGCATGTCTGTGCTTGCGTCCAACACCGCACGAAGATGGGAAGCGCAACTGTTGCTGGCTCTTGATGCGGTGCTTAGGTCATGCAATAACACCATCTCAATTGAGTCGGAATCATCAGCTGTGCCGAAATGACAGCTCCAGTTCGTGTACTGCACGTTGTTCACTCGTTGCCCATGTCTGGTTGCATGTCTGGTTGCATGTCTGTGCTTGCATCCAACACCGCACGAAGATGGGAAGCGCAACTGTTGCTGGGTCTTGATGCGGTGCTTAGGTCATGCAATAACACCATTCAATTGAGTCGGAATCATCAGCTGTGCCGAAATGACAGCTCCAGTTCGTGTACTGCACGTTGTTCACTCGTTGCCCATGTCTGGTTGCATGTCTGGTTGCATGTCTGTGCTTTGCATCCAACACCGCACGAAGATGGGAAGCGCAACTGTTGCTGGCTCTTGATGCGGTGCTTAGGTCATGCAATAACACCATTCAATTGAGTCCGGAAGCATCAGCTGTGCCGAAATGACAGCTCCAGTTCGTGTACCCCGTTGTTCACTCGTTGCCCATGTCTGGTTGCTGTCTGGTTGCATGTCTGTGCTTGCATCCAACACCGCACTGAAGATGGGAAGCGCACCTGTTGCTGGCTCTTGATACGGTGCTTAGATCATGCAATAACACCATTCATGAGTCAGAGTCATCAGCTGTGCCGGAAATGACGGCTCCAGTTCGTGTACCACACGTTGTTCACTCGTTACCCATGTCTGGTTGCATGTCTGGTTGCATGTCTGTGCTTGCATCAACACCGCAGAAGATGGGAAGCGCAACTGTTGCTGGCTCTTGATGCGGTGCTTAGGTCACGCAATAACACCTCTTGATGAGTCGGAATTATCGGCTGTGCCGAAATGACAGCTCCAGTTCGTGTACTACACGTTGTTCACTCGTTGCCCATGTCTGGTTGCATGTCTGGTTGCATGTCTGGCTTGCATCCAACACCGCACGAAGATGGGAAGCGCAGCTGTTGCTGGCTCTTGATGCGGTGCTTAGGTCATGCAATAGCACCATTCAATTGAGTCGGAATCATCAGCTGTGCCGAGTTGACAGCTCCAGTTCGTGTACTACACGTTGTTCACTCGTTGCCCATGTCTGGTTGCATGTCTGGTTGCATGTCTGGTGCTTGCATCCAGCACCGCACGAGATGGGAAGCGCAACTGTTGCTGGCTCTTGATGCGGTGCTTAGGTCACGCAATAACACCATTCAATTGAGTCGGAATCATCAGCTGTGCCGAAATGACAGCTCCAGTTCGTGTACTGCCGTTGTTCACTCGTTGCCCATGTCTGGTTGCATGTCTGGTTGCATGTCTGTGCTTGCATCCAACACCGCACGAAGATGGGAAGCGCAACTGTTGCTGGCTCTTGATGCGGTGCTTAGGTCACGCAATAACACCTCTTGATGAGTCGGAATTATCGGCTGTGCCGAAATGACAGCTCCAGTTCGTGTACTGCACGTTGTTCACTCGTTGCCCATGTCTGGTTGCATGTCTGGTTGCATGTCTGTGCTTGCATCCAACACCGCACGAAGATGGGAAGCGCAACTGTTGCTGGCTCTTGATGCGGTGCTTAGGTCATGCAATAACACCATTCAATTGAGTCGGAATCATCAGCTGTGCCGAAATGACAGCTCCAGTTCGTGTACTGCACGTTTGTTCACTCGTTGCCCATGTCTGGTTGCATGTCTGGTTGCATGTCTGTGTGTCTTGCATCCAACACCGCACGAAGATGGGAAGCGCAACTGTTGCTGGCTCTTGATGCGGTGCTTAGGTCATGCAATAACACCATTCAATTGAGTCGGAATCATCGGCTGTGCCGAAATGACAGCTCCAGTTCGTGTACTGCACGTTGTTCACTCGTTGCCCATGTCTGGTTGCATGTCTGGTTGCATGTCTGTGCTTGCATCCAACACCGCACGAAGATGGGAAGCGCAACTGTTGCTGGGTCTTGATGCGGTGCTTAGGTCATGCAATAACACCGTTCAATTGAGTCGGAATCATCAGCTGTGCCGAAATGACAGCTCCAGTTCGTGTACCGCACGTTGTTCACTCGTTGCCCATGTCTGGTTGCATGTCTGGTTGCATGTCTGTGCTTGCATCCAACACCGCACGAAGATGGGAAGCGCAACTGTTGCTGGCTCTTGATGCGGTGCTTAGGTCACGCAATAACACCTTTTGATTGAGTCGGAACATCGGCTGTGCCGAAATGACAGCTCCAGTTCGTGTATTGCACGTTGTTCACTCGTTGCCCATGTCTGGTTGCATGTCTGGTTGCATGTCTGTGGTTGCGTCCATCACTTCACGAAGATGGGAAGCGCAACTGTTGCTGGCTCTTGATGCGGTGCTTAGGTCATGCAATAACACCATTCAATTAAGTCGGAATCATCAGCTGTGCCGAAATGACAGCTCCCAGTTCGTGTATTGCACGTTGTTCACTCGTTGCCCATCGTCTGGTTGCATGTCTGGTTGCATGTCTGTGCTTGCATCCAACACCCCACGAAGATGGGAAGCGCAACTGTTGCTGGCTCTTGATGCGGTGCTTAGGTCACGCATGGCACCATTCAAATAAGTCGGAATCATCAGCTGTGCCGAAATGACAGCTCCAGTTCGTGTACTGCACGTTGTTCACTCGTTGCTCATGTCTGGTTGCATGTCTGGTTGCATGTCTGTGCTTGCATCCAACACCGCACGAAGATGGGAAGCGCAACTGCTGCTGGGTCTTGATGCGGTGCTTAGGTCATGCAATAACACCATTCATGAGTCGGAATCATCAGCTGTGCCGAAATGACAGCTCCAGTTCGTGTACTGCACGTTGTTCACTCGTTGCCCATGTCTGGTTGCATGTCTGGTTGCATGTCTGTGCTTGCATCCAACACCGCACGAAGATGGGAAGCGCAACTGTTGCTGGCTCTTGATGCGGTGCTTAGGTCATGCGATAACACCATTCAATTGAGTCGGATCAGCTGTGCCGAAATGACAGCTCCAGTTCGTGTACTGCACGTTGTTCACTCGTTGCCCATGTCTGGTTGCATGTCTGGTTGCATGTCTGTGCTTGCATCCAACACCGCACGAAGATGGGAAGCGCAACTGTTGCTGGGTCTTGATGCGGTGCTTAGGTCATGCAATAACACCATTCAATTGAGTCGGAATCATCAGCTGTGCCGAAATGACAGCTCCAGTTCGTGTACCGCAGTTGTTCACTCGTTGCCCATGTCTGGTTGCATGTCTGGTTGCATGTCTGTGCTTGCATCCAACACCGCACGAAGATGGGAAGCGCAACTGTTGCTGGGTCTTGATGCGGTGCTTAGGTCACGCAATACCACCTCATTGATGAGTCGGAACCATCAGCTGTGCCGAAATGACAGCTCCAGTTCGTGTACTACCGTTGTTCACTCGTTGCCCATGCTGGTTGCATGTCTGGTTGCATGTCTGTGCTTGCATCCAACACCGCACGAAGATGGGAAGCGCAACTGTTGCTGGGTCTTGATGCGGTGCTTAGGTCATGCAATAACACCATTCAAATGAGTCGGAATCATCAGCTGTGCCGAAATGACAGCTCCAGTTCGTGTACTACACGTTGTTCACTCGTTGCCCATCTGGTTGCATGTCTGGTTGCATGTCTGAGCTTGCATCCAACACCGCACGAAGATGGGGGAGCGCAACTGTTGCTGGCTCTTGATGCGGTGCTTAGGTCATGCAATAACACCTTCAATTGAGTCGGAACCATCGGCTGTGCCGAAATAACAGCTCCAGTTCGTGTCCTACACGTTTTTCACTCGTTGCCCATGTCTGGTTGCATGTCTGGTTGCATGTCTGTGCTTGCATCCAACACCGCACGAAGATGGGAAGCGCAACTGTTGCTGGGTCTTGATGCGGTGCTTAGGTAAACACGCAAAACACCTCATACTTGAGTCGGAATCATCGGCTGTGCCGAAATGACAGCTCTAAGTCGTGTACTACACGGTTGTTCACTCGTTGCCCATGTCTGGTTGCATGTCTGGTTGCATGTCTGTCTGTGCTTGCATCCAACACCGCACAAAGATGGGAAGCGCAACTGCTGCTGGCTCTTGATGCGGTGCTTAGGTCATGCAATAACACCTCTTGATGAGTCGGAACCATCAGCTGTGCCGAAATGACAGCTCCAGTTCGTGTACTACACGTTGTTCACTCGTTGCCCATGTCTGGTTGCATGTCTGGTTGCATGTCTGTGCTGCATCCAACACCGCACGAAGATGGGAAGCGCTACTGCTGCTGGGTCTTGATGCGGTGCTTAGGTCATGCAATAACACCATTCAATGAGTCAGAATCATCATCTGTGCCGAAATGACAGCTCCAGTTCGTGTACTACACGTTGTTCACTCGTTGCCCATGTCTGGTTGCATGTCTGTGCTTGCATCCAACACCGCACGAAGATGGGAAGCGCAACTGTTGCTGGGTCTTGATGCGGTGCTTAGGTCATGCAATAACACCTCTTGATGAGTCGGAACCATCGGCTGTGCCGAAATGACAGCTCCAGTTCGTGTACTGCACGTTGTTCACTGTTGCCTATGTCTGGTTGCATGTCTGGTTGCATGTCTGTGTGCTAGCATCCAACACCGCACGAAGATGGGAAGCGCAACTGCTGCTGGGTCTTGGTGCGGTGCTTAGGTCATGCAATAACACCATTCAATTGAGTCGGAACCATCGGCTGTGCCGAAATGACAGCTCCAGTTCGTGTACTACACGTTGTTCACTCGTTGCCCATGTCTGGTTGCATGTCTGGTTGCATGTCTGTGCTTGCATCCAACACCGCACGAAGATGGGAAGCGCAACTGTTGCTGGCTCTTGATGCGGTGCTTAGGTCATGCAATAACACCATTCAATTGAGTCGGAATCATCGGCTGTGCCGAAATGATTGCTCCAGTCGTGTACTACACGTTGTTCACTCGTTGCCCATGTCTGGTTGCATGTCTGGTTGCATGTCTGTGCTTGCATCCAACACCGCACGAAGATGGGAAGCGCAACTGTTGCTGGGTCTTGATGCGGTGCTTAGGTCATGCAATAACACCATTCAAATGAGTCGGAATCATCAGCTGTGCCGAAAATGACAGCTCCAGTTCGTGTACTACACGTTGTTCACTCGTTGCCCATGTCTGGTTGCATGTCTGGTTTTCTGTGCTTGCATCCAACACCGCACGAAGATGGGAAGCGCAACTGCTGCTGGGTCTTGATGCGGTGCTTAGGTCATGCAATAACACCATCTTGATGAGTCAGAATCATCAGCTGTGCCGAAATGACAGCTCCAGTTCGTATAATACACGTTGTTCACTCGTTACCCATGTCTGGTTGCATGTCTGGTTGCATGTCTGTGCTTGCATCCAGCACCGCACGAAGATGGGAAGCGAACTGTTGCTGGTCTTGATGCGGTGCTTAGGTCGTGCAATAACACCATTCAATTGAGTCGGAATCATCGGCTGCGCCGAAATGACAGCTCCAGTTCGTGTACTACACGTTGTTCACTCGTTGCCCATGTCTGGTTGCATGTCTGGTTTGCATGTCTGTGCTTGCATCACACACCGCACACGAAGATGGGAAGCGCAACTGCTGCTGGCTCTTGATGCGGTGCTTAGGTCATGCAATAACACCTCTTGATGAGTCGGAATCATCAGCTGTGCCGAAATGACAGCTCCAGTTCGTGTACTACACGTTGTTCACTCGTTGCCCATGTCTGGTTGCATGTCTGGTTGCATGTCTGTGCTTGCATCCAACACCGCACGAAGATGGGAAGCGCAACTGCTGCTGGCTCTTGATGCGGTGCTTAGGTCATGCAATAACACCATTCAATTGAGTCGGAATCATCAGCTGTGCCGGAAATGACAGCTCCAGTTCGTGTACTACACGTTGTTCACTCGTTGCCCATGTCTGGTTGCATGTCTGGTTGCATGTCTGTGCTTGCATCCAACACCGCACGAAGATGGGAAGCGCAACTGTTGCTGGGTCTTGATGCGGTGCTTAGGTCATGCAATAACACCTCTTGATGAGTCGGAATCATCAGCTGTGCCGAAATGACAGCTCCAGTTCGTGTACTACACGTTGTTCACTCGTTGCCCATGTCTGGTTGCATGTCTGGTTGCATGTCTGTGCTTGCATCCAACACCGCACGAAGATGGGAAGCGCAACTGCTGCTGGCTCTTGATGCGGTGCTTAGGTCATGCAAACACCATTCAATTGAGTCGGAATCATCAGCTGTGCCGAAATGACAGCTCCAGTTCGTGTACTACACGTTGTTCACTCGTTGCCCATGTCTGGTTGCATGTCTGGTTGCATGTCTGTGCTTGCATCCAACACCGCACGAAGATGGGAAGCGCAACTGTTGCTGGGTCTTGATGCGGTGCTTAGGTCATGCAATAACACCTTTCAATGAGTCGGAATCATCGGCTGTGCCGAAATGACAGCTCCAGGTCGTGTACTGCACGTTGTTCACTCGTTGCCCATGTCTGGTTGCATGTCTGGTTGCATGTCTGTGCTTGCATCCAACACCGCACGAAGATGGGAAGCGCAACTGTTGCTGGCTCTTGATGCGGTGCTTAGGTCATGCAATAACACCATTCAATTGAGTCGGAATCATCAGCTGTGCCGAAATGACAGCTCCAGTTCGTGTACTGCACGTTGTTCACTCGTTGCCCATGTCTGGTTGCATGTCTGGTTGCATGTCTGTGCTTGCATCCAACACCGCACGAAGATGGGAAGCGCAACTGCTGCTGGCTCTTGATGCGGTGCTTAGGTCATGCAATAACACCATTCATGAGTCGGAATCATCAGCTGTGCCGAAATGACAGCTCCAGTTCGTGTACTACACGTTGTTCACTCGTTGCCCATGTCTGGTTGCATGTCTGGTTGCATGTCTGTGCTTGCATCCAACACCGCACGAAGATGGGAAGCGCAACTGTTGCTGGATCTTGATGCGGTGCTTAGGTCATGCAATAACACCATTTAATGAGTCGGAATCATCAGCTGTGCCGAAATGACAGCTCCAGTTCGTGTACTACACGTTGTTCACTCGTTGCCCATGTCTGGTTGCATGTCTGGTTGCATGTCTGTGCTTGCATCCAACACCGCACGAAGATGGGAAGCGCAACTGTTGCTGGCTCTTGATGCGGTGCTTAGGTCATGCAATAACACCATTCAAATAAGTCGGAATCATCAGCTGTGCCGAAATGACAGCTCCAGTTCGTGTATTGCACGTTGTTCACTCGTTGCCCATGTCTGGTTGCATATCTGGTTGCATGTCTGTGCTTGCATCCAACACCGCACGAAGATGGGAAGCGCAACTGCTGCTGGGTCTTGATGCGGTGCTTAGATCATGCAATAACACCTCTTGATGAGTCGGAATCATCAGCTGCGCCGAAATGACAGCTCCAGTTCGTGTACTACACGTTGTTCACTCGTTACCCATGTCTGGTTGCATGTCTGGTTGCATGTCTGTGCTTGCATCCAACACCGCACGAAGATGGGAAGCGCAACTGTTGCTGGCTCTTGATGCGGTGCTTAGGTCATGCAATAACACCATTCAAATGAGTCGGAATCATCAGCTGTGCCGAAATGACAGCTCCAGTTCGTGTACTGCACGTTGTTCACTCGTTGCCCATGTCTGGTTGCATGTCTGGTTGCATGTCTGTGCTTTGCATCCAACACCGCACGAAGATGGGAAGCGCAACTGTTGCTGGGTCTTGATGCGGTGCTTAGGTCATGCAATAACACCTCTTCATTGAGTCGGAATCATCAGCTGTGCCGAAATGACAGCTCCAGTTCGTGTACTACACGTTGTTCACTCGTTGCCCATGTCTGGTTGCATGTCTGGTTGCATGTCTGTGCTTGCATCCAACACCGCACGAAGATGGGAAGCGCAACTGTTGCTGGCTCTTGATGCGGTGCTTAGGTCATGCAATAACACCATTCAATTGAGTCGGAATCATCAGCTGTGCCGAAATGACAGCTCCAGTTCGTGTACTACACGTTGTTCACTCGTTGCCCATGTCTGGTTGCATGTCTGGTTGCATGTCTGTGCTTGCATCCAACACCGCACGAAGATGGGAAGCGCAACTGTTGCTGGGTCTTGATGCGGTGCTTAGGTCATGCAATAACACCATTCAATTGAGTCGGAATTATCGGCTGTGCCGAAATGACAGCTCCAGTTCGTGTACTACACGTTGTTCACTCGTTGCCCATGTCTGGTTGCATGTCTGGTTGCATGTCTGTGCTTGCATCCAACACCGCACGAAGATGGGAAGCGCAACTGTTGCTGGCTCTTGATGCGGTGCTTAGGTCATGCAATAACACCATTCAATTGAGTCGGAATTATCGGCTGTGCCGAAATGACAGCTCCAGTTCGTGTACTACACGTTGTTCACTCGTTGCCCATGTCTGGTTGCATGTCTGGTTGCATGTCTGTGCTTGCATCCGACACCGCACGAAGATGGGAAGCGCAACTGTTGCTGGGTCTTGATGCGGTGCTTAGGTCATGCAATAACACCATTCAATTGAGTCGGAATCATCAGCTGTGCCGAAATGACAGCTCCAGTTCGTGTACTACACGTTGTTCACTCGTTGCCCATGTCTGGTTGCATGTCTGGTTGCATGTCTGTGCTTGCATCCAACACCGCACGAAGATGGGAAGCGCAACTGTTGCTGGCTCTTGATGCGGTGCTTAGGTCATGCAATAACACCATTCAATTGAGTCGGAATCATCAGCTGTGCCGAAATGACAGCTCCAGTTCGTGTACTACACGTTGTTCACTCGTTGCCCATGTCTGGTTGCATGTCTGGTTGCATGTCTGTGCTTGCATCCAACACCGCACGAAGATGGGAAGCGCAACTGTTGCTGGGTCTTGATGCGGTGCTTAGGTCATGCAATAACACCATTCAATTGAGTCGGAATCATCAGCTGTGCCGAAATGACAGCTCCAGTTCGTGTACTACACGTTGTTCACTCGTTGCCCATGTCTGGTTGCATGTCTGGTTGCATGTCTGTGCTTGCATCCAACACCGCACGAAGATGGGAAGCGCAACTGTTGCTGGCTCTTGATGCGGTGCTTAGGTCATGCAATAACACCATTCAATTGAGTCGGAATCATCAGCTGTGCCGAAATGACAGCTCCAGTTCGTGTACCGCACGTTGTTCACTCGTTGCCCATGTCTGGTTGCATGTCTGGTTGCATGTCTGTGCTTGCATCCAACACCGCACGAAGATGGGAAGCGCAACTGCTGCTGGGTCTTGATGCGGTGCTTAGGTCATGCAATAACACCTCTTGATGAGTCGGAATCATCGGCTGTGCCGAAATGACAGCTCCAGTTCGTGTACTACACGTTGTTCACTCGTTGCCCATGTCTGGTTGCATGTCTGGTTGCATGTCTGTGCTTGCATCCAACACCGCACGAAGATGGGAAGCGCAACTGTTGCTGGGTCTTGATGCGGTGCTTAGGTCATGCAATAACACCATTCAATTGAGTCGGAATCATCAGCTGTGCCGAAATGACAGCTCCAGTTCGTGTACTACACGTTGTTCACTCGTTGCCCATGTCTGGTTGCATGTCTGGTTGCATGTCTGTGCTTGCATCCAACACCGCACGAAGATGGGAAGCGCAACTGCTGCTGGGTCTTGATGCGGTGCTTAGGTCATGCAATAACACCATTCAATTGAGTCGGAATCATCAGCTGTGCCGAAATGACAGCTCCAGTTCGTGTACTACACGTTGTTCACTCGTTGCCCATGTCTGGTTGCATGTCTGGTTGCATGTCTGTGCTTGCATCCAACACCGCACGAAGATGGGAAGCGCAACTGTTGCTGGGTCTTGATGCGGTGCTTAGGTCATGCAATAACACCATTCAATTGAGTCGGAATCATCAGCTGTGCCGAAATGACAGCTCCAGTTCGTGTACTGCACGTTGTTCACTCGTTGCCCATGTCTGGTTGCATGTCTGGTTGCATGTCTGTGCTTGCATCCAACACCGCACGAAGATGGGAAGCGCAACTGTTGCTGGCTCTTGATGCGGTGCTTAGGTCATGCAATAACACCATTCAATTGAGTCGGAATCATCAGCTGTGCCGAAATGACAGCTCCAGTTCGTGTACTACACGTTGTTCACTCGTTGCCCATGTCTGGTTGCATGTCTGGTTGCATGTCTGTGCTTGCATCCAACACCGCACGAAGATGGGAAGCGCAACTGCTGCTGGGTCTTGATGCGGTGCTTAGGTCATGCAATAACACCATTCAATTGAGTCGGAATCATCAGCTGTGCCGAAATGACAGCTCCAGTTCGTGTACTACACGTTGTTCACTCGTTGCCCATGTCTGGTTGCATGTCTGGTTGCATGTCTGTGCTTGCATCCAACACCGCACGAAGATGGGAAGCGCAACTGCTGCTGGGTCTTGATGCGGTGCTTAGGTCATGCAATAACACCTCTTGATGAGTCGGAATCATCAGCTGTGCCGAAATGACAGCTCCAGTTCGTGTACTACACGTTGTTCACTCGTTGCCCATGTCTGGTTTGCATGTCTGGTTGCATGTCTGTGCTTGCATCCAACACCGCACGAAGATGGGAAGCGCAACTGTTGCTGGGTCTTGATGCGGTGCTTAGGTCATGCAATAACACCATTCAATTGAGTCGGAATCATCAGCTGTGCCGAAATGACAGCTCCAGTTCGTGTACTACACGTTGTTCACTCGTTGCCCATGTCTGGTTGCATGTCTGGTTGCATGTCTGTGCTTGCATCCAACACCGCACGAAGATGGGAAGCGCAACTGCTGCTGGCTCTTGATGCGGTGCTTAGGTCATGCAATAACACCATTCAATTGAGTCGGAATCATCAGCTGTGCCGAAATGACAGCTCCAGTTCGTGTACTGCACGTTGTTCACTCGTTGCCCATGTCTGGTTGCATGTCTGGTTGCATGTCTGTGCTTGCATCCAACACCGCACGAAGATGGGAAGCGCAACTGTTGCTGGCTCTTGATGCGGTGCTTAGGTCATGCAATAACACCTCTTGATGAGTCGGAATCATCAGCTGTGCCGAAATGACAGCTCCAGTTCGTGTACTACACGTTGTTCACTCGTTGCCCATGTCTGGTTGCATGTCTGGTTGCATGTCTGTGCTTGCATCCAACACCGCACGAAGATGGGAAGCGCAACTGTTGCTGGCTCTTGATGCGGTGCTTAGGTCATGCAATAACACCATTCAATTGAGTCGGAATCATCAGCTGTGCCGAAATGACAGCTCCAGTTCGTGTACTACACGTTGTTCACTCGTTGCCCATGTCTGGTTGCATGTCTGGTTGCATGTCTGTGCTTGCATCCAACACCGCACGAAGATGGGAAGCGCAACTGTTGCTGGGTCTTGATGCGGTGCTTAGGTCATGCAATAACACCATTCAATTGAGTCGGAATCATCAGCTGTGCCGAAATGATAGCTCCAGTTCGTGTACTACACCGTTGTTCACTCGTTGCCCATGTCTGGTTGCATGTCTGGTTGCATGTCTGTGCTTGCATCCAACACCGCACGAAGATGGGAAGCGCAACTGTTGCTGGCTCTTGATGCGGTGCTTAGGTCATGCAATAACACCTCTTGATGAGTCGGAATCATCAGCTGTGCCGAAATGACAGCTCCAGTTCGTGTACTACACGTTGTTCACTCGTTGCCCATGTCTGGTTGCATGTCTGGTTGCATGTCTGTGCTTGCATCCAACACCGCACGAAGATGGGAAGCGCAACTGTTGCTGGGTCTTGATGCGGTGCTTAGGTCACGCAATAACACCATTCAATTGAGTCGGAATCATCAGCTGTGCCGAAATGACAGCTCCAGTTCGTGTACTACACGTTGTTCACTCGTTGCCCATGTCTGGTTGCATGTCTGGTTGCATGTCTGTGCTTGCATCCAACACCGCACGAAGATGGGAAGCGCAACTGTTGCTGGCTCTTGATGCGGTGCTTAGGTCATGCAATAACACCATTCAATTGAGTCGGAATCATCAGCTGTGCCGAAATGACAGCTCCAGTTCGTGTACTACACGTTGTTCACTCGTTGCCCATGTCTGGTTGCATGTCTGGTTGCATGTCTGTGCTTGCATCCAACACCGCACGAAGATGGGAAGCGCAACTGTTGCTGGGTCTTGATGCGGTGCTTAGGTCATGCAATAACACCATTCAATGAGTCGGAATCATCAGCTGTGCCGAAATGACAGCTCCAGTTCGTGTACTACACGTTGTTCACTCGTTGCCCATGTCTGGTTGCATGTCTGGTTGCATGTCTGTGCTTGCATCCCAACACCGCACGAAGATGGGAAGCGCAACTGTTGCTGGCTCTTGATGCGGTGCTTAGGTCATGCAATAACACCTCTTCATGAGTCGGAATCATCAGCTGTGCCGAAATGACAGCTCCAGTTCGTGTACTTGCACGTTGTTCACTCGTTGCCCATGTCTGGTTGCATGTCTGGTTGCATGTCTGTGCTTGCATCCAACACCGCACGAAGATGGGAAGCGCAACTGCTGCTGGCTCTTGATGCGGTGCTTAGGTCATGCAATAACACCATTCAATTGAGTCGGAATCATCAGCTGTGCCGAAATGACAGCTCCAGTTCGTGTACTGCACGTTGTTCACTCGTTGCCCATGTCTGGTTGCATGTCTGGTTGCATGTCTGTGCTTGCATCCAACACCGCACGAAGATGGGAAGCGCAACTGTTGCTGGGTCTTGATGCGGTGCTTAGGTCATGCAATAACACCACTTCAAATGAGTCGGAATCATCAGCTGTGCCGAAATGACAGCTCCAGTTCGTGTACTACACGTTGTTCACTCGTTGCCCATGTCTGGTTGCATGTCTGGTTGCATGTCTGTGCTTGCATCCAACACCGCACGAAGATGGGAAGCGCAACTGTTGCTGGGTCTTGATGCGGTGCTTAGGTCATGCAATAACACCATTCAATTGAGTCGGAATCATCAGCTGTGCCGAAATGACAGCTCCAGTTCGTGTACTACACGTTGTTCACTCGTTGCCCATGTCTGGTTGCATGTCTGGTTGCATGTCTGTGCTTGCATCCAACACCGCACGAAGATGGGAAGCGCAACTGCTGCTGGGTCTTGATGCGGTGCTTAGGTCATGCAATAACACCATTTAATTGAGTCGGAATCATCAGCTGCGCCGAAATGATAGCTCCAGTTCGTGTACTGCACGTTGTTCACTCGTTGCCCATGTCTGGTTGCATGTCTGGTTGCATGTCTGTGCTTGCATCCAACACCGCACGAAGATGGGAAGCGCAACTGTTGCTGGCTCTTGATGCGGTGCTTAGGTCATGCAATAACACCATTCAATTGAGTCGGAATCATCAGCTGTGCCGAAATGACAGCTCCAGTTCGTGTACTACACGTTGTTCACTCGTTGCCCATGTCTGGTTGCATGTCTGGTTGCATGTCTGTGCTTGCATCCAACACCGCACGAAGATGGGAAGCGCAACTGTTGCTGGCTCTTGATGCGGTGCTTAGGTCATGCAATAACACCATTCAATTGAGTCGGAATCATCAGCTGTGCCGAAATGACAGCTCCAGTTCGTGTACTACACGTTGTTCACTCGTTGCCCATGTCTGGTTGCATGTCTGGTTGCATGTCTGTGCTTGCATCCAACACCGCACGAAGATGGGAAGCGCAACTGTTGCTGGCTCTTGATGCGGTGCTTAGGTCATGCAATAACACCATTCAATTGAGTCGGAATCATCAGCTGTGCCGAAATGACAGCTCCAGTTCGTGTACTGCACGTTGTTCACTCGTTGCCCATGTCTGGTTGCATGTCTGGTTGCATGTCTGTGCTTGCATCCAACACCGCACGAAGATGGGAAGCGCAACTGTTGCTGGGTCTTGATGCGGTGCTTAGGTCATGCAATAACACCATTCAATTGAGTCGGAATCATCAGCTGTGCCGAAATGACAGCTCCAGTTCGTGTACTACACGTTGTTCACTCGTTGCCCATGTCTGGTTGCATGTCTGGTTGCATGTCTGTGGTTGCATCCAACACCGCACGAAGATGGGAAGCGCAACTGTTGCTGGCTCTTGATGCGGTGCTTAGGTCATGCAATAACACCATTCAATTGAGTCGGAATCATCAGCTGTGCCGAAATGACAGCTCCAGTTCGTGTATTGCACGTTGTTCACTCGTTGCCCATGTCTGGTTGCATGTCTGGTTGCATGTCTGTGCTTGCATCCAACACCGCACGAAGATGGGAAGCGCAACTGTTGCTGGGCTCTTGATGCGGTGCTTAGGTCATGCAATAACACCATTCAATTGAGTCGGAATCATCAGCTGTGCCGAAATGACAGCTCCAGTTCGTGTACTACACGTTGTTCACTCGTTGCCCATGTCTGGTTGCATGTCTGGTTGCATGTCTGTGCTTGCATCCAACACCGCACGAAGATGGGAAGCGCAACTGTTGCTGGCTCTTGATGCGGTGCTTAGGTCATGCAATAACACCACTTCAATTGAGTCGGAATCATCAGCTGTGCCGAAATGACAGCTCCAGTTCGTGTACCGCACGTTGTTCACTCGTTGCCCATGTCTGGTTGCATGTCTGGTTGCATGTCTGTGCTTGCATCCAACACCGCACGAAGATGGGAAGCGCAACTGTTGCTGGGTCTTGATGCGGTGCTTAGGTCATGCAATAACACCATTCAATTGAGTCGGAATCATCAGCTGCGCCGAAATGACAGCTCCTGTTCGTGTACTACACGTTATTCACTCGTTGCCCATGCCTGGTTGCATGTCTGGTTGCATGTCTGTGGTTGCATCCAGAACCGCACGAAGATGGGAAGTGCAACTGCTACAGGCTCTTGATGCGGTGCTTAGGTCATGCAATAACACCATTCAATTGAGTCGGAATCATCAGCTGTGCCGAAATGACAGCTCCAGTTCGTGTATTGCACGTTGTTCACTCGTTGCCCATGTCTGGTTGCATGTCTGGTTGCATGTCTGTGCTTGCATCCAACACCGCACGAAGATGGGAAGCGCAACTGTTGCTGGCTCTTGATGCGGTGCTTAGGTCACGCAATAACACCATTCAATTGAGTCGGAATCATCAGCTGTGCCGAAATGACAGCTCCAGTTCGTGTATTGCACGTTGTTCACTCGTTGCCCATGTCTGGTTGCATGTCTGGTTGCATGTCTGTGCTTGCATCCAACACCGCACGAAGATGGGAAGCGCAACTGTTGCTGGCTCTTGATGCGGTGCTTAGATCATGCAATAACACCATTCAATTGAGTCGGAATCATCAGCTGTGCCGAAATGACAGCTCCAGTTCGTGTACTACACGTTGTTCACTCGTTGCCCATGTCTGGTTGCATGTCTGGTTGCATGTCTGTGCTTGCATCCAACACCGCACGAAGATGGGAAGCGCAACTGTTGCTGGCTCTTGATGCGGTGCTTAGGTCATGCAATAACACCATTCAATTGAGTCGGAATCATCAGCTGTGCCGAAATGACAGCTCCAGTTCGTGTACGACACACATTGTTCACTCGTTGCCCATGTCTGGTTGCATGTCTGTGCTTGCATTCAACACCGCACGAAGATGGGAAGCGCAACTGCTGCTGGCTCTTGATGCGGTGCTTAGGTCATTCGATAACACCATTCAATTGAGTCGGAATCATCAGCTGTGCCGAAATGACAGCTCCAGTTCGTGTACGACACGTTGTTCACTCGTTGCCCATGTCTGGTTGCATGTCTGTGCTTGCATCCAACACCGCACGAAGATGGGAAGCGCAACTGCTGCTGGCTCTTGATGCGGTGCTTAGGTCATGCAATAACACCATTTCAATGAGTCGGAATCATCAGCTGTGCCGAAATGACAGCTCCAGTTCGTGTCGTACACGTTGTTCACTCGTTGCCCATGTCTGGTTGCATGTCTGGTTGCATGTCTGTGCTTGCATCCAACACCGCACGAAGATGGGAAGCGCAACTGTTGCTGGCTCTTGATGCGGTGCTTAGGTCACGCAATAACTCCATTTAATTGAGTCGGAATCATCAGCTGTGCCGAAATGACAGCTCCAGTTCGTGTACTACACGTTGTTCACTCGTTGCCCATGTCTGGTTGCATGTCTGGTTGCATGTCTGTGCTTGCATCCAACACCGCACGAAGATGGGAAGCGCAACTGTTGCTGGGTCTTGATGCGGTGCTTAGGTCATGCAATAACACCATTCAATTGAGTCGGAATCATCGGCTGTGCCGAAATGACAGCTCCAGTTCGTGTACCGCACGTTGTTCACTCGTTGCCCATGTCTGGTTGCATGTCTGTGCTTGCATCCAACACCGCACGAAGATGGGAAGCGCAACTGCTGCTGGGATGCGGTGCTTAGGTCATGCAATAACACCTCTTAATATGTGGGAATCATCGATTGTGCCGAAATGACAGCTCCAGTTCGTGTCCTACACGTTGTTCACTCGTTGCCCATGTCTGGTTGCATGTCTGGTTGCATGTCTGTGCTTGCATCCAACACCGCACGAAGATGGGAAGCGCAACTGTTGCTGGCTCTTGATGCGGTGCTTAGGTCATGCAATAACACCATTCAAATGAGTCGGAATCATCAGCTGTGCCGAAATGACAGCTCCAATTCGTGTACTACACGTTGTTCACTCGTTGCCCATGTCTGGTTGCATGTCTGGTTGCATGTCTGTGCTTGCATCCAACACCGCACGAAGATGGGAAGCGCAACTGTTGCTGGGTCTTGATGCGGTGCTTAGATCATTCGATAACACCATTCATTTGAGTCGGAATCATCAGCTGTGCCGAAATGACAGCTCCAGTTCGTGTACTACACGTTGTTCACTCGTTGCCCATGTCTGGTTGCATGTCTGTGCTTGCATCCAACACCGCACGAAGATGGGAAGCGCAACTGTTGCTGGCTCTTGATGCGGTGCTTAGGTCACGCAATAACACCATTCAATTGAGTCGGAATCATCAGCTGTGCCGAAATGACAGCTCCAGTTCGTGTACCGCACGTTGTTCACTCGTTGCCCATGTCTGGTTGCATGTCTGGTTGCATGTCTGTGCTTGCATCCAACACCGCACGAAGATGGGAAGCGCAACTGTTGCTGGCTCTTGATGCGGTGCTTAGGTCACGCAATAACACCATTCAATTGAGTCAAAATCATCGATTGTGCCGAAATGATAGCTCCAGTTCGTGTACCGCACGTTGTTCACTCGTTGCCCATGTCTGGTTGCATGTCTGGTTGCATGTCTGTGCTTGCATCCAACACCGCACGAAGATGGGAAGCGCAACTGTTGCTGGGTCTTGATGCGGTGCTTAGGTCATGCAATAACACCATTCAATTGAGTCGGAATCATCAGCTTGTGCCGAAATGACAGCTCCAGTTCGTGTACTACACGTTGTTCACTCGTTGCCCATGTCTGGTTGCATGTCTGGTTGCATGTCTGTGCTTGCATCCAACACCGCACGAAGATGGGAAGCGCAACTGCTGCTGGGTCTTGATGCGGTGCTTAGGTCATGCAATAACACCTCTTAAATAGTGGGAATCATCGATTGTGCCGAAATGACAGCTCCAGTTCGTGTCCTACACGTTGTTCACTCGTTGCCCATGTCTGGTTGCATGTCTGGTTGCATGTCTGTGCTTGCATCCAACACCGCACGAATATGGGAAGCGCAACTGTTGCTGGCTCTTGATGCGGTGCTTAGATCATTCGATAACACCATTCAATTGAGTCGGAATCATCAGCTGTGCCGAAATGACAGCTCCAGTTCGTGTACTACACGTTGTTCACTCGTTGCCCATGTCTGGTTGCATGTCTGGTTGCATGTCTGTGCTTGCATCCAACACCGCACGAAGATGGGAAGCGCAACTGTTGCTGGCTCTTGATGCGGTGCTTAGGTCATGCAATAACACCATTCAATTAGTCGGAATCATCAGCTTGTGCCGAAATGACAGCTCCAGTTCGTGTACCGCACGTTGTTCACTCGTTGCCCATGTCTGGTTGCATGTCTGTGCTTGCATCCAACACCGCACGAAGATGGGAAGCGCAACTGTTGCTGGGTCTTGATGCGGTGCTTAGGTCATTCGATAACACCATTCATTTGAGTCGGAATCATCAGCTGCGCCGAAACGACAGCTCCAATTCGTGTACTACACGTTGTTCACTCGTTGCCCATGTCTGGTTGCATGTCTGTGCTTGCATCCAACACCGCACAAAGATGGGAAGCGCAACTGCTGCTGGCTCTTGATGCGGTGCTTAGGTCACGCAATAACACCATTCAATTGAGTCGGAATCATCAGCTGTGCCGAAATGACAGCTCCAGTTCGTGTACCGCACGTTGTTCACTCGTTGCCCATGTCTGGTTGCATGTCTGGTTGCATGTCTGTGCTTGCATCCAACACCGCACGAAGATGGGAAGCGCAACTGTTGCTGGGTCTTGATGCGGTGCTTAGGTCACGCAATAACACCATTCAATTGAGTCGGAATCATCAGCTGTGCCGAAATGACAGCTCCCAGTTCGTGTACCGCACGTTGTTCACTCGTTGCCCATGTCTGGTTGCATGTCTGGTTGCATGTCTGTGCTTGCATCCGACACCGCACGAAGATGGGAAGCGCAACTGTTGCTGGCTCTTGATGCGGTGCTTAGGTCATGCAATAACACCCATTCAATTGAGTCGGAATCATCAGCTGTGCCGAAATGACAGCTCCAGTTCGTGTACCGCACGTTGTTCACTCGTTGCCCATGTCTGGTTGCATGTCTGGTTGCATGTCTGTGCTTGCATCCAACACCGCACGAAGATGGGAAGCGCAACTGTTGCTGGCTCTTGATGCGGTGCTTAGGTCATGCAATAACACCATTCAATTGAGTCGGAATCATCGGCTGTGCCGAAATGACAGCTCCAGTTCGTGTACCGCACGTTGTTCACTCGTTGCCCATGTCTGGTTGCATGTCTGGTTGCATGTCTGGTTGCATGTCTGTGCTTGCATCCAACACCGCACGAAGATGGGAAGCGCAACTGTTGCTGGGTCTTGATGCGGTGCTTAGATCATTCGATAACACCATTCAATTGAGTCGGAATCATCAGCTGTGCCGAAATGACAGCTCCAGTTCGTGTACTACACGTTGTTCACTCGTTGCCCATGTCTGGTTGCATGTCTGGTTGCTGTTGTGCTTGCATCCAACACCGCACGAAGATGGGAAGCGCAACTGTTGCTGGCTCTTGATGCGGTGCTTAGGTCACGCAATAACACCATTCAATTGAGTCGGAATCATCAGCTGTGCCGAAATGACAGCTCCAGTTCGTGTACCGCACGTTGTTCACTCGTTGCCCATGTCTGGTTGCATGTCTGGTTGCATGTCTGTGCTTTGCATCCAACACCGCACGAAGATGGGAAGCGCAACTGTTGCTGGGTCTTGATGCGGTGCTTAGGTCATGCAATAACACCATTCAATTGAGTCGGAATCATCGGCTGTGCCGAAATGACAGCTCCAAGTCGTGTACCGCACGTTGTTCACTCGTTGCCCATGTCTGGTTGCATGTCTGGTTGCATGTCTGTGCTTGCATCCAACACCGCACGAAGATGGGAAGCGCAACTGTTGCTGGGTCTTGATGCGGTGCTTAGGTCATGCAATAACACCATTCAATTGAGTCGGAATCATCAGCTGTGCCGAAATGACAGCTCCAGTTCGTGTACCGCACGTTGTTCACTCGTTGCCCATGTCTGGTTGCATGTCTGGTTGCATGTCTGGTTGCATGTCTGTGCTTGCATCCAACACCGCACGAAGATGGGAAGCGCAACTGTTGCTGGCTCTTGATGCGGTGCTTAGGTCATGCAATAACACCCCTTAATTAGTGGGAATCATCGATTGTGCCGAAATGACAGCTCCAGTTCGTGTACTACACGTTGTTCACTCGTTGCCCATGTCTGGTTGCATGTCTGGTTGCATGTCTGTGCTTGCATCCAACACCGCACGAAGATGGGAAGCGCAACTGTTGCTGGCTCTTGATGCGGTGCTTAGATCATTCGATAACACCATTCAATTGAGTCGGAATCATCAGCTGTGCCGAAATGACAGCTCCAGTTCGTGTACCGCACGTTGTTCACTCGTTGCCCATGTCTGGTTGCATGTCTGGTTGCATGTCTGTGCTTGCATCCAACACCGCACGAAGATGGGAAGCGCAACTGTTGCTGGGTCTTGATGCGGTGCTTAGATCATTCGATAACACCATTCAATTGAGTCGGAATCATCAGCTGTGCCGAAATGACAGCTCCAGTTCGTGTACTACACGTTGTTCACTCGTTGCCCATGTCTGGTTGCATGTCTGTGCTTGCATCCAACACCGCACGAAGATGGGAAGCGCAACTGTTGCTGGCTCTTGATGCGGTGCTTAGGTCATGCAATAACACCATTCAATTGAGTCGGAATCATCAGCTGTGCCGAAATGACAGCTCCAGTTCGTGTACCGCACGTTGTTCACTCGTTGCCCATGTCTGGTTGCATGTCTGGTTGCATGTCTGTGCTTGCATCCAACACCGCACGAAGATGGGAAGCGCAACTGTTGCTGGCTCTTGATGCGGTGCTTAGGTCACGCAATAACACCATTCAATTGAGTCGGAATCATCAGCTGTGCCGAAATGACAGCTCCAAGTCGTGTACCGCACGTTGTTCACTCGTTGCCCATGTCTGGTTGCATGTCTGGTTGCATGTCTGTGCTTGCATCCAACACCGCACGAAGATGGGAAGCGCAACTGTTGCTGGCTCTTGATGCGGTGCTTAGGTCATGCAATAACACCCCTTAATTAGTGGGAATCATCGATTGTGCCGAAATGACAGCTCCAGTTCGTGTACCGCACGTTGTTCACTCGTTGCCCATGTCTGGTTGCATGTCTGGTTGCATGTCTGGTTGCATGTCTGTGCTTGCATCCAACACCGCACGAAGATGGGAAGCGCAACTGTTGCTGGGTCTTGATGCGGTGCTTAGGTCATGCAATAACACCATTCAATTGAGTCGGAATCATCAGCTTGTGCCGAAATGACAGCTCCAGTTCGTGTACTACACGTTGTTCACTCGTTGCCCATGTCTGGTTGCATGTCTGGTTGCATGTCTGTGCTTGCATCCAACACCGCACGAAGATGGGAAGCGCAACTGTTGCTGGGTCTTGATGCGGTGCTTAGGTCATGCAATAACACCATTCAATTGAGTCGGAATCATCAGCTGTGCCGAAATGACAGCTCCAGTTCGTGTCCTACACGTTGTTCACTCGTTGCCCATGTCTGGTTGCATGTCTGGTTGCATGTCTGTGCTTGCATCCAACACCGCACGAAGATGGGAAGCGCAACTGTTGCTGGCTCTTGATGCGGTGCTTAGATCATTCGATAACACCATTCAATTGAGTCGGAATCATCAGCTGTGCCGAAATGACAGCTCCAGTTCGTGTACCGCACGTTGTTCACTCGTTGCCCATGTCTGGTTGCATGTCTGGTTGCATGTCTGTGCTTGCATCCGACACCGCACGAAGATGGGAAGCGCAACTGTTGCTGGGATGCGGTGCTTAGGTCATGCAATAACACCATTCAATTGAGTCGGAATCATCAGCTGTGCCGAAATGACAGCTCCAGTTCGTGTACCGCACGTTGTTCACTCGTTGCCCATGTCTGGTTGCATGTCTGGTTGCATGTCTGGTTGCATGTCTGTGCTTGCATCCAACACCGCACGAAGATGGGAAGCGCAACTGTTGCTGGCTCTTGATGCGGTGCTTAGATCATTCGATAACACCATTCATTTGAGTCGGAATCATCAGCTGTGCCGAAATGACAGCTCCAGTTCGTGTACTACACGTTGTTCACTCGTTGCCCATGTCTGGTTGCATGTCTGTTTGTGCTTGCATCCAACACCGCACGAAGATGGGAAGCGCAACTGTTGCTGGCTCTTGATGCGGTGCTTAGGTCACGCAATAACACCATTCAATTGAGTCGGAATCATCAGCTGTGCCGAAATGACAGCTCCAGTTCGTGTACCGCACGTTGTTCACTCGTTGCCCATGTCTGGTTGCATGTCTGGTTGCATGTCTGTGCTTGCATCCAACACCGCACGAAGATGGGAAGCGCAACTGTTGCTGGCTCTTGATGCGGTGCTTAGGTCACGCAATAACACCATTCAATTGAGTCGGAATCATCAGCTGTGCCGAAATGACAGCTCCAGGTCGTGTACCGCACGTTGTTCACTCGTTGCCCATGTCTGGTTGCATGTCTGGTTGCATGTCTGTGCTTGCATCCAACACCGCACGAAGATGGGAAGCGCAACTGTTGCTGGCTCTTGATGCGGTGCTTAGGTCATGCAATAACACCATTCAATTGAGTCGGAATCATCAGCTGTGCCGAAATGACAGCTCCAGTTCGTGTACCGCACGTTGTTCACTCGTTGCCCATGTCTGGTTGCATGTCTGGTTGCATGTCTGTTGCTTGCATCCAACACCGCACGAAGATGGGAAGCGCAACTGTTGCTGGGTCTTGATGCGGTGCTTAGGTCATGCAATAACACCATTCAATTGAGTCGGAATCATCAGCTGTGCCGAAATGACAGCTCCAGTTCGTGTACTACACGTTGTTCACTCGTTGCCCATGTCTGGTTGCATGTCTGGTTGCATGTCTGTGCTTGCATCCAACACCGCACGAAGATGGGAAGCGCAACTGTTGCTGGCTCTTGATGCGGTGCTTAGATCATTCGATAACACCATTCAATTGAGTCGGAATCATCAGCTGTGCCGAAATGACAGCTCCAGTTCGTGTACTGCACGTTGTTCACTCGTTGCCCATGTCTGGTTGCATGTCTGGTTGCATGTCTGTGCTTGCATCCAACACCGCACGAAGATGGGAAGCGCAACTGTTGCTGGGTCTTGATGCGGTGCTTAGATCATTCGATAACACCATTCAATTGAGTCGGAATCATCAGCTGTGCCGAAATGACAGCTCCAGTTCGTGTACCCGCACGTTGTTCACTCGTTGCCCATGTCTGGTTGCATGTCTGGTTGCATGTCTGTGCTTGCATCCAACACCGCACGAAGATGGGAAGCGCAACTGTTGCTGGCTCTTGATGCGGTGCTTAGGTCACGCAATAACACCTCTTGATGAGTCGGAATCATCAGCTGTGCCGAAATGACAGCTCCAGTTCGTGTACCGCACGTTGTTCACTCGTTGCCCATGTCTGGTTGCATGTCTGGTTGCATGTCTGTGCTTGCATCCAACACCGCACGAAGATGGGAAGCGCAACTGTTGCTGGCTCTTGATGCGGTGCTTAGATCATTCGATAACACCATTCAATTGAGTCGGAATCATCAGCTGTGCCGAAATGACAGCTCCAGTTCGTGTACCGCACGTTGTTCACTCGTTGCCCATGTCTGGTTGCATGTCTGTGCTTGCATCCAACACCGCACGAAGATGGGAAGCGCAACTGTTGCTGGGTCTTGATGCGGTGCTTAGATCATTCGATAACACCATTCAATTGAGTCGGAATCATCAGCTGTGCCGAAATGACAGCTCCAGTTCGTGTACCGCACGTTGTTCACTCGTTGCCCATGTCTGGTTGCATGTCTGGTTGCATGTCTGTGCTTGCATCCGACACCGCACGAAGATGGGAAGCGCAACTGTTGCTGGCTCTTGATGCGGTGCTTAGATCATTCGATAACACCATTCAATTGAGTCGGAATCATCAGCTGTGCCGAAATGACAGCTCCAGTTCGTGTACCGCACGTTGTTCACTCGTTGCCCATGTCTGGTTGCATGTCTGTGCTTGCATCCAACACCGCACGAAGATGGGAAGCGCAACTGTTGCTGGCTCTTGATGCGGTGCTTAGGTCACGCAATAACACCATTCAATTGAGTCGGAATCATCAGCTGTGCCGAAATGACAGCTCCAGTTCGTGTACTACACGTTGTTCACTCGTTGCCCATGTCTGGTTGCATGTCTGGTTGCATGTCTGTGCTTGCATCCAACACCGCACGAAGATGGGAAGCGCAACTGTTGCTGGCTCTTGATGCGGTGCTTAGGTCATTCAATAACACCATTCAATTGAGTCGGAATCATCAGCTGTGCCGAAATGACAGCTCCAGTTCGTGTACTACACGTTGTTCACTCGTTGCCCATGTCTGGTTGCATGTCTGGTTGCATGTCTGTGCTTGCATCCAACACCGCACGAAGATGGGAAGCGCAACTGTTGCTGGCTCTTGATGCGGTGCTTAGATCATTCGATAACACCATTCAATTGAGTCGGAATCATCAGCTGTGCCGAAATGACAGCTCCAGTTCGTGTACTACACGTTGTTCACTCGTTGCCCATGTCTGGTTGCATGTCTGGTTGCATGTCTGTGCTTGCATCCAACACCGCACGAAGATGGGAAGCGCAACTGTTGCTGGCTCTTGATGCGGTGCTTAGGTCATGCAATAACACCATTCAATTGAGTCGGAATCATCAGCTGTGCCGAAATGACAGCTCCAGTTCGTGTACCGCACGTTGTTCACTCGTTGCCCATGTCTGGTTGCATGTCTGGTTGCATGTCTGTGCTTGCATCCAACACCGCACGAAGATGGGAAGCGCAACTGTTGCTGGCTCTTGATGCGGTGCTTAGATCATTCGATAACACCATTCAATTGAGTCGGAATCATCAGCTGTGCCGAAATGACAGCTCCAGTTCGTGTACCGCACGTTGTTCACTCGTTGCCCATGTCTGGTTGCATGTCTGGTTGCATGTCTGTGCTTGCATCCAACACCGCACGAAGATGGGAAGCGCAACTGTTGCTGGCTCTTGATGCGGTGCTTAGGTCATGCAATAACACCATTCAATTGAGTCGGAATCATCAGCTGTGCCGAAATGACAGCTCCAGTTCGTGTACTCGCACGTTGTTCACTCGTTGCCCATGTCTGGTTGCATGTCTGGTTGCATGTCTGTGCTTGCATCCAACACCGCACGAAGATGGGAAGCGCAACTGTTGCTGGCTCTTGATGCGGTGCTTAGGTCACGCAATAACACCATTCAATTGAGTCGGAATCATCAGCTGTGCCGAAATGACAGCTCCAGTTCGTGTATCGCACGTTGTTCACTCGTTGCCCATGTCTGGTTGCATGTCTGGTTGCATGTCTGTGCTTGCATCCAACACCGCACGAAGATGGGAAGCGCAACTGTTGCTGGCTCTTGATGCGGTGCTTAGGTCATTCGATAACACCATTCAATTGAGTCGGAATCATCAGCTGTGCCGAAATGACAGCTCCAGTTCGTGTACTGCACGTTGTTCACTCGTTGCCCATGTCTGGTTGCATGTCTGGTTGCATGTCTGTGCTTGCATCCAACACCGCACGAAGATGGGAAGCGCAACTGTTGCTGGCTCTTGATGCGGTGCTTAGGTCACGCAATAACACCATTCAATTGAGTCGGAATCATCAGCTGTGCCGAAATGACAGCTCCAGTTCGTGTACCGACACGTTGTTCACTCGTTGCCCATGTCTGGTTGCATGTCTGGTTGCATGTCTGTGCTTGCATCCAACACCGCACGAAGATGGGAAGCGCAACTGTTGCTGGCTCTTGATGCGGTGCTTAGGTCATGCAATAACACCATTCAATTGAGTCGGAATCATCAGCTGTGCCGAAATGACAGCTCCAGTTCGTGTACTACACGTTGTTCACTCGTTGCCCATGTCTGGTTGCATGTCTGGTTGCATGTCTGTGCTTGCATCCAACACCGCACGAAGATGGGAAGCGCAACTGTTGCTGGCTCTTGATGCGGTGCTTAGATCATTCGATAACACCATTCAATTGAGTCGGAATCATCAGCTGTGCCGAAATGACAGCTCCAGTTCGTGTACCGCACGTTGTTCACTCGTTGCCCATGTCTGGTTGCATGTCTGGTTGCATGTCTGTGCTTGCATCCAACACCGCACGAAGATGGGAAGCGCAACTGTTGCTGGCTCTTGATGCGGTGCTTAGGTCATTCAATAACACCATTCAATTGAGTCGGAATCATCAGCTGTGCCGAAATGACAGCTCCAGTTCGTGTACCGCACGTTGTTCACTCGTTGCCCATGTCTGGTTGCATGTCTGGTTGCATGTCTGTGCTTGCATCCAACACCGCACGAAGATGGGAAGCGCAACTGTTGCTGGCTCTTGATGCGGTGCTTAGGTCATTCAATAACACCATTCAATTGAGTCGGAATCATCAGCTGTGCCGAAATGACAGCTCCAGTTCGTGTACCGCACGTTGTTCACTCGTTGCCCATGTCTGGTTGCATGTCTGGTTGCATGTCTGTGCTTGCATCCAACACCGCACGAAGATGGGAAGCGCAACTGTTGCTGGCTCTTGATGCGGTGCTTAGGTCATGCAATAACACCATTCAATTGAGTCGGAATCATCAGCTGTGCCGAAATGACAGCTCCAGTTCGTGTACTGCACGTTGTTCACTCGTTGCCCATGTCTGGTTGCATGTCTGGTTGCATGTCTGTGCTTGCATCCAACACCGCACGAAGATGGGAAGCGCAACTGTTGCTGGCTCTTGATGCGGTGCTTAGGTCATGCAATAACACCATTCAATTGAGTCGGAATCATCAGCTGTGCCGAAATGACAGCTCCAGTTCGTGTACTACACGTTGTTCACTCGTTGCCCATGTCTGGTTGCATGTCTGGTTGCATGTCTGTGCTTGCATCCAACACCGCACGAAGATGGGAAGCGCAACTGTTGCTGGGTCTTGATGCGGTGCTTAGGTCATGCAATAACACCATTCAATTGAGTCGGAATCATCAGCTGTGCCGAAATGACAGCTCCAGTTCGTGTACTACACGTTGTTCACTCGTTGCCCATGTCTGGTTGCATGTCTGGTTGCATGTCTGTGCTTGCATCCAACACCGCACGAAGATGGGAAGCGCAACTGTTGCTGGCTCTTGATGCGGTGCTTAGGTCATGCAATAACACCATTCAATTGAGTCGGAATCATCAGCTGTGCCGAAATGACAGCTCCAGTTCGTGTACCGCACGTTGTTCACTCGTTGCCCATGTCTGGTTGCATGTCTGGTTGCATGTCTGTGCTTGCATCCAACACCGCACGAAGATGGGAAGCGCAACTGTTGCTGGCTCTTGATGCGGTGCTTAGGTCATGCAATAACACCATTCAATTGAGTCGGAATCATCAGCTGTGCCGAAATGACAGCTCCAGTTCGTGTACCGCACGTTGTTCACTCGTTGCCCATGTCTGGTTGCATGTCTGGTTGCATGTCTGTGCTTGCATCCAACACCGCACGAAGATGGGAAGCGCAACTGTTGCTGGCTCTTGATGCGGTGCTTAGGTCATGCAATAACACCATTCAATTGAGTCGGAATCATCAGCTGTGCCGAAATGACAGCTCCAGTTCGTGTACCGCACGTTGTTCACTCGTTGCCCATGTCTGGTTGCATGTCTGGTTGCATGTCTGTGCTTGCATCCAACACCGCACGAAGATGGGAAGCGCAACTGTTGCTGGCTCTTGATGCGGTGCTTAGGTCATGCAATAACACCATTCAATTGAGTCGGAATCATCAGCTGTGCCGAAATGACAGCTCCAGTTCGTGTACCGCACGTTGTTCACTCGTTGCCCATGTCTGGTTGCATGTCTGGTTGCATGTCTGTGCTTGCATCCAACACCGCACGAAGATGGGAAGCGCAACTGTTGCTGGCTCTTGATGCGGTGCTTAGGTCACGCAATAACACCATTCAATTGAGTCGGAATCATCAGCTGTGCCGAAATGACAGCTCCAGTTCGTGTACCGCACGTTGTTCACTCGTTGCCCATGTCTGGTTGCATGTCTGGTTGCATGTCTGTGCTTGCATCCAACACCGCACGAAGATGGGAAGCGCAACTGTTGCTGGCTCTTGATGCGGTGCTTAGGTCATGCAATAACACCATTCAATTGAGTCGGAATCATCAGCTGTGCCGAAATGACAGCTCCAGTTCGTGTACCGCACGTTGTTCACTCGTTGCCCATGTCTGGTTGCATGTCTGGTTGCATGTCTGTGCTTGCATCCAACACCGCACGAAGATGGGAAGCGCAACTGTTGCTGGCTCTTGATGCGGTGCTTAGGTCATGCAATAACACCATTCAATTGAGTCGGAATCATCAGCTGTGCCGAAATGACAGCTCCAGTTCGTGTACCGCACGTTGTTCACTCGTTGCCCATGTCTGGTTGCATGTCTGGTTGCATGTCTGTGCTTGCATCCAACACCGCACGAAGATGGGAAGCGCAACTGTTGCTGGCTCTTGATGCGGTGCTTAGGTCACGCAATAACACCATTCAATTGAGTCGGAATCATCAGCTGTGCCGAAATGACAGCTCCAGTTCGTGTACCGCACGTTGTTCACTCGTTGCCCATGTCTGGTTGCATGTCTGGTTGCATGTCTGTGCTTGCATCCAACACCGCACGAAGATGGGAAGCGCAACTGTTGCTGGCTCTTGATGCGGTGCTTAGGTCATGCAATAACACCATTCAATTGAGTCGGAATCATCAGCTGTGCCGAAATGACAGCTCCAGTTCGTGTACTACACGTTGTTCACTCGTTGCCCATGTCTGGTTGCATGTCTGGTTGCATGTCTGTGCTTGCATCCAACACCGCACGAAGATGGGAAGCGCAACTGTTGCTGGCTCTTGATGCGGTGCTTAGGTCACGCAATAACACCATTCAATTGAGTCGGAATCATCAGCTGTGCCGAAATGACAGCTCCAGTTCGTGTACCGCACGTTGTTCACTCGTTGCCCATGTCTGGTTGCATGTCTGGTTGCATGTCTGTGCTTGCATCCAACACCGCACGAAGATGGGAAGCGCAACTGTTGCTGGCTCTTGATGCGGTGCTTAGGTCACGCAATAACACCATTCAATTGAGTCGGAATCATCAGCTGTGCCGAAATGACAGCTCCAGTTCGTGTACCGCACGTTGTTCACTCGTTGCCCATGTCTGGTTGCATGTCTGGTTGCATGTCTGTGCTTGCATCCAACACCGCACGAAGATGGGAAGCGCAACTGTTGCTGGCTCTTGATGCGGTGCTTAGGTCACGCAATAACACCATTCAATTGAGTCGGAATCATCAGCTGTGCCGAAATGACAGCTCCAGTTCGTGTACTACACGTTGTTCACTCGTTGCCCATGTCTGGTTGCATGTCTGGTTGCATGTCTGTGCTTGCATCCAACACCGCACGAAGATGGGAAGCGCAACTGTTGCTGGCTCTTGATGCGGTGCTTAGGTCATGCAATAACACCATTCAATTGAGTCGGAATCATCAGCTGTGCCGAAATGACAGCTCCAGTTCGTGTACCGCACGTTGTTCACTCGTTGCCCATGTCTGGTTGCATGTCTGGTTGCATGTCTGTGCTTGCATCCAACACCGCACGAAGATGGGAAGCGCAACTGTTGCTGGCTCTTGATGCGGTGCTTAGGTCATGCAATAACACCATTCAATTGAGTCGGAATCATCAGCTGTGCCGAAATGACAGCTCCAGTTCGTGTACTACACGTTGTTCACTCGTTGCCCATGTCTGGTTGCATGTCTGGTTGCATGTCTGTGCTTGCATCCAACACCGCACGAAGATGGGAAGCGCAACTGTTGCTGGCTCTTGATGCGGTGCTTAGGTCATGCAATAACACCATTCAATTGAGTCGGAATCATCAGCTGTGCCGAAATGACAGCTCCAGTTCGTGTACCGCACGTTGTTCACTCGTTGCCCATGTCTGGTTGCATGTCTGGTTGCATGTCTGTGCTTGCATCCAACACCGCACGAAGATGGGAAGCGCAACTGTTGCTGGCTCTTGATGCGGTGCTTAGATCATGCAATAACACCATTCAATTGAGTCGGAATCATCAGCTGTGCCGAAATGACAGCTCCAGTTCGTGTACCGCACGTTGTTCACTCGTTGCCCATGTCTGGTTGCATGTCTGGTTGCATGTCTGTGCTTGCATCCAACACCGCACGAAGATGGGAAGCGCAACTGTTGCTGGCTCTTGATGCGGTGCTTAGGTCATGCAATAACACCATTCAATTGAGTCGGAATCATCAGCTGTGCCGAAATGACAGCTCCAGTTCGTGTACCGCACGTTGTTCACTCGTTGCCCATGTCTGGTTGCATGTCTGGTTGCATGTCTGTGCTTGCATCCAACACCGCACGAAGATGGGAAGCGCAACTGTTGCTGGCTCTTGATGCGGTGCTTAGGTCATGCAATAACACCATTCAATTGAGTCGGAATCATCAGCTGTGCCGAAATGACAGCTCCAGTTCGTGTACTACACGTTGTTCACTCGTTGCCCATGTCTGGTTGCATGTCTGGTTGCATGTCTGTGCTTGCATCCAACACCGCACGAAGATGGGAAGCGCAACTGTTGCTGGCTCTTGATGCGGTGCTTAGGTCATGCAATAACACCATTCAATTGAGTCGGAATCATCAGCTGTGCCGAAATGACAGCTCCAGTTCGTGTACCGCACGTTGTTCACTCGTTGCCCATGTCTGGTTGCATGTCTGGTTGCATGTCTGTGCTTGCATCCAACACCGCACGAAGATGGGAAGCGCAACTGTTGCTGGCTCTTGATGCGGTGCTTAGGTCATGCAATAACACCATTCAATTGAGTCGGAATCATCAGCTGTGCCGAAATGACAGCTCCAGTTCGTGTACTACACGTTGTTCACTCGTTGCCCATGTCTGGTTGCATGTCTGGTTGCATGTCTGTGCTTGCATCCAACACCGCACGAAGATGGGAAGCGCAACTGTTGCTGGCTCTTGATGCGGTGCTTAGGTCATGCAATAACACCATTCAATTGAGTCGGAATCATCAGCTGTGCCGAAATGACAGCTCCAGTTCGTGTACCGCACGTTGTTCACTCGTTGCCCATGTCTGGTTGCATGTCTGGTTGCATGTCTGTGCTTGCATCCAACACCGCACGAAGATGGGAAGCGCAACTGTTGCTGGCTCTTGATGCGGTGCTTAGGTCATGCAATAACACCATTCAATTGAGTCGGAATCATCAGCTGTGCCGAAATGACAGCTCCAGTTCGTGTACTACACGTTGTTCACTCGTTGCCCATGTCTGGTTGCATGTCTGGTTGCATGTCTGTGCTTGCATCCAACACCGCACGAAGATGGGAAGCGCAACTGTTGCTGGCTCTTGATGCGGTGCTTAGGTCATGCAATAACACCATTCAATTGAGTCGGAATCATCAGCTGTGCCGAAATGACAGCTCCAGTTCGTGTACCACACGTTGTTCACTCGTTGCCCATGTCTGGTTGCATGTCTGGTTGCATGTCTGTGCTTGCATCCAACACCGCACGAAGATGGGAAGCGCAACTGTTGCTGGCTCTTGATGCGGTGCTTAGGTCATGCAATAACACCATTCAATTGAGTCGGAATCATCAGCTGTGCCGAAATGACAGCTCCAGTTCGTGTACTACACGTTGTTCACTCGTTGCCCATGTCTGGTTGCATGTCTGGTTGCATGTCTGTGCTTGCATCCAACACCGCACGAAGATGGGAAGCGCAACTGTTGCTGGCTCTTGATGCGGTGCTTAGGTCATGCAATAACACCATTCAATTGAGTCGGAATCATCAGCTGTGCCGAAATGACAGCTCCAGTTCGTGTACCGCACGTTGTTCACTCGTTGCCCATGTCTGGTTGCATGTCTGGTTGCATGTCTGTGCTTGCATCCAACACCGCACGAAGATGGGAAGCGCAACTGTTGCTGGCTCTTGATGCGGTGCTTAGGTCATGCAATAACACCATTCAATTGAGTCGGAATCATCAGCTGTGCCGAAATGACAGCTCCAGTTCGTGTACTACACGTTGTTCACTCGTTGCCCATGTCTGGTTGCATGTCTGGTTGCATGTCTGTGCTTGCATCCAACACCGCACGAAGATGGGAAGCGCAACTGTTGCTGGCTCTTGATGCGGTGCTTAGGTCACGCAATAACACCATTCAATTGAGTCGGAATCATCAGCTGTGCCGAAATGACAGCTCCAGTTCGTGTACTACACGTTGTTCACTCGTTGCCCATGTCTGGTTGCATGTCTGGTTGCATGTCTGTGCTTGCATCCAACACCGCACGAAGATGGGAAGCGCAACTGTTGCTGGCTCTTGATGCGGTGCTTAGGTCATGCAATAACACCATTCAATTGAGTCGGAATCATCAGCTGTGCCGAAATGACAGCTCCAGTTCGTGTACTACACGTTGTTCACTCGTTGCCCATGTCTGGTTGCATGTCTGGTTGCATGTCTGTGCTTGCATCCAACACCGCACGAAGATGGGAAGCGCAACTGTTGCTGGCTCTTGATGCGGTGCTTAGGTCATGCAATAACACCATTCAATTGAGTCGGAATCATCAGCTGTGCCGAAATGACAGCTCCAGTTCGTGTACTACACGTTGTTCACTCGTTGCCCATGTCTGGTTGCATGTCTGGTTGCATGTCTGTGCTTGCATCCAACACCGCACGAAGATGGGAAGCGCAACTGTTGCTGGCTCTTGATGCGGTGCTTAGGTCATGCAATAACACCATTCAATTGAGTCGGAATCATCAGCTGTGCCGAAATGACAGCTCCAGTTCGTGTACCGCACGTTGTTCACTCGTTGCCCATGTCTGGTTGCATGTCTGGTTGCATGTCTGTGCTTGCATCCAACACCGCACGAAGATGGGAAGCGCAACTGTTGCTGGCTCTTGATGCGGTGCTTAGGTCATGCAATAACACCATTCAATTGAGTCGGAATCATCAGCTGTGCCGAAATGACAGCTCCAGTTCGTGTACCGCACGTTGTTCACTCGTTGCCCATGTCTGGTTGCATGTCTGGTTGCATGTCTGTGCTTGCATCCAACACCGCACGAAGATGGGAAGCGCAACTGTTGCTGGCTCTTGATGCGGTGCTTAGGTCATGCAATAACACCATTCAATTGAGTCGGAATCATCAGCTGTGCCGAAATGACAGCTCCAGTTCGTGTACTACACGTTGTTCACTCGTTGCCCATGTCTGGTTGCATGTCTGTGCTTGCATCCAACACCGCACGAAGATGGGAAGCGCAACTGTTGCTGGCTCTTGATGCGGTGCTTAGGTCATGCAATAACACCATTCAATTGAGTCGGAATCATCAGCTGTGCCGAAATGACAGCTCCAGTTCGTGTACTACACGTTGTTCACTCGTTGCCCATGTCTGGTTGCATGTCTGGTTGCATGTCTGTGCTTGCATCCAACACCGCACGAAGATGGGAAGCGCAACTGTTGCTGGGTCTTGATGCGGTGCTTAGGTCATGCAATAACACCATTCAATTGAGTCGGAATCATCAGCTGTGCCGAAATGACAGCTCCAGTTCGTGTACTACACGTTGTTCACTCGTTGCCCATGTCTGGTTGCATGTCTGGTTGCATGTCTGTGCTTGCATCCAACACCGCACGAAGATGGGAAGCGCAACTGTTGCTGGCTCTTGATGCGGTGCTTAGGTCATGCAATAACACCATTCAATTGAGTCGGAATCATCAGCTGTGCCGAAATGACAGCTCCAGTTCGTGTACCGCACGTTGTTCACTCGTTGCCCATGTCTGGTTGCATGTCTGGTTGCATGTCTGTGCTTGCATCCAACACCGCACGAAGATGGGAAGCGCAACTGTTGCTGGCTCTTGATGCGGTGCTTAGGTCATGCAATAACACCATTCAATTGAGTCGGAATCATCAGCTGTGCCGAAATGACAGCTCCAGTTCGTGTACCGCACGTTGTTCACTCGTTGCCCATGTCTGGTTGCATGTCTGGTTGCATGTCTGTGCTTGCATCCAACACCGCACGAAGATGGGAAGCGCAACTGTTGCTGGCTCTTGATGCGGTGCTTAGGTCATGCAATAACACCATTCAATTGAGTCGGAATCATCAGCTGTGCCGAAATGACAGCTCCAGTTCGTGTACTACACGTTGTTCACTCGTTGCCCATGTCTGGTTGCATGTCTGGTTGCATGTCTGTGCTTGCATCCAACACCGCACGAAGATGGGAAGCGCAACTGTTGCTGGCTCTTGATGCGGTGCTTAGGTCATGCAATAACACCATTCAATTGAGTCGGAATCATCAGCTGTGCCGAAATGACAGCTCCAGTTCGTGTACTGCACGTTGTTCACTCGTTGCCCATGTCTGGTTGCATGTCTGGTTGCATGTCTGTGCTTGCATCCAACACCGCACGAAGATGGGAAGCGCAACTGTTGCTGGCTCTTGATGCGGTGCTTAGGTCATGCAATAACACCATTCAATTGAGTCGGAATCATCAGCTGTGCCGAAATGACAGCTCCAGTTCGTGTACTACACGTTGTTCACTCGTTGCCCATGTCTGGTTGCATGTCTGGTTGCATGTCTGTGCTTGCATCCAACACCGCACGAAGATGGGAAGCGCAACTGTTGCTGGGTCTTGATGCGGTGCTTAGGTCATGCAATAACACCATTCAATTGAGTCGGAATCATCAGCTGTGCCGAAATGACAGCTCCAGTTCGTGTACCGCACGTTGTTCACTCGTTGCCCATGTCTGGTTGCATGTCTGGTTGCATGTCTGTGCTTGCATCCAACACCGCACGAAGATGGGAAGCGCAACTGTTGCTGGCTCTTGATGCGGTGCTTAGGTCATGCAATAACACCATTCAATTGAGTCGGAATCATCAGCTGTGCCGAAATGACAGCTCCAGTTCGTGTACTACACGTTGTTCACTCGTTGCCCATGTCTGGTTGCATGTCTGGTTGCATGTCTGTGCTTGCATCCAACACCGCACGAAGATGGGAAGCGCAACTGTTGCTGGCTCTTGATGCGGTGCTTAGGTCATGCAATAACACCATTCAATTGAGTCGGAATCATCAGCTGTGCCGAAATGACAGCTCCAGTTCGTGTACCGCACGTTGTTCACTCGTTGCCCATGTCTGGTTGCATGTCTGGTTGCATGTCTGTGCTTGCATCCAACACCGCACGAAGATGGGAAGCGCAACTGTTGCTGGCTCTTGATGCGGTGCTTAGGTCATGCAATAACACCATTCAATTGAGTCGGAATTATCGGCTGTGCCGAAATGACAGCTCCAGTTCGTGTACTACACGTTGTTCACTCGTTGCCCATGTCTGGTTGCATGTCTGGTTGCATGTCTGTGCTTGCATCCAACACCGCACGAAGATGGGAAGCGCAACTGTTGCTGGCTCTTGATGCGGTGCTTAGGGTCATGCAATAACACCATTCAATTGAGTCGGAATCATCAGCTGTGCCGAAATGACAGCTCCAGTTCGTGTACTACACGTTGTTCACTCGTTGCCCATGTCTGGTTGCATGTCTGGTTGCATGTCTGTGCTTGCATCCAACACCGCACGAAGATGGGAAGCGCAACTGCTGCTGGCTCTTGATGCGGTGCTTAGGTCATGCAATAACACCATTCAATTGAGTCGGAATCATCAGCTGTGCCGAAATGACAGCTCCAGTTCGTGTACTACACGTTGTTCACTCGTTGCCCATGTCTGGTTGCATGTCTGGTTGCATGTCTGTGCTTGCATCCAACACCGCACGAAGATGGGAAGCGCAACTGTTGCTGGCTCTTGATGCGGTGCTTAGGTCATGCAATAACACCATTCAATTGAGTCGGAATCATCAGCTGTGCCGAAATGACAGCTCCAGTTCGTGTACTACACGTTGTTCACTCGTTGCCCATGTCTGGTTGCATGTCTGGTTGCATGTCTGTGCTTGCATCCAACACCGCACGAAGATGGGAAGCGCAACTGTTGCTGGCTCTTGATGCGGTGCTTAGGTCATGCAATAACACCATTCAATTGAGTCGGAATCATCAGCTGTGCCGAAATGACAGCTCCAGTTCGTGTACCGCACGTTGTTCACTCGTTGCCCATGTCTGGTTGCATGTCTGGTTGCATGTCTGTGCTTGCATCCAACACCGCACGAAGATGGGAAGCGCAACTGTTGCTGGCTCTTGATGCGGTGCTTAGGTCATGCAATAACACCATTCAATTGAGTCGGAATCATCAGCTGTGCCGAAATGACAGCTCCAGTTCGTGTACTACACGTTGTTCACTCGTTGCCCATGTCTGGTTGCATGTCTGGTTGCATGTCTGTGCATGCTTGCATCCAACACCGCACGAAGATGGGAAGCGCAACTGTTGCTGGCTCTTGATGCGGTGCTTAGGTCATGCAATAACACCATTCAATTGAGTCGGAATCATCAGCTGTGCCGAAATGACAGCTCCAGTTCGTGTACTACACGTTGTTCACTCGTTGCCCATGTCTGGTTGCATGTCTGGTTGCATGTCTGTGCTTGCATCCAACACCGCACGAAGATGGGAAGCGCAACTGTTGCTGGCTCTTGATGCGGTGCTTAGGTCATGCAATAACACCATTCAATTGAGTCGGAATCATCAGCTGTGCCGAAATGACAGCTCCAGTTCGTGTACCGCACGTTGTTCACTCGTTGCCCATGTCTGGTTGCATGTCTGGTTGCATGTCTGTGCTTGCATCCAACACCGCACGAAGATGGGAAGCGCAACTGTTGCTGGGTCTTGATGCGGTGCTTAGATCATGCAATAACACCATTCAATTGAGTCGGAATCATCAGCTGTGCCGAAATGACAGCTCCAGTTCGTGTACTGCACGTTGTTCACTCGTTGCCCATGTCTGGTTGCATGTCTGGTTGCATGTCTGTGCTTGCATCCAACACCGCACGAAGATGGGAAGCGCAACTGTTGCTGGCTCTTGATGCGGTGCTTAGGTCATGCAATAACACCATTCAATTGAGTCGGAATTATCGGCTGTGCCGAAATGACAGCTCCAGTTCGTGTACCGCACGTTGTTCACTCGTTGCCCATGTCTGGTTGCATGTCTGGTTGCATGTCTGTGCTTGCATCCGACACCGCACGAAGATGGGAAGCGCAACTGTTGCTGGCTCTTGATGCGGTGCTTAGGTCACGCAATAACACCATTCAATTGAGTCGGAATCATCAGCTGTGCCGAAATGACAGCTCCAGTTCGTGTACCGCACGTTGTTCACTCGTTGCCCATGTCTGGTTGCATGTCTGGTTGCATGTCTGTGCTTGCATCCAACACCGCACGAAGATGGGAAGCGCAACTGTTGCTGGCTCTTGATGCGGTGCTTAGATCATGCAATAACACCACTTCAATTGAGTCGGAATCATCGGCTGTGCCGAAATGACAGCTCCAGTTCGTATACTACACGTTGTTCACTCGTTGCCTATGTCTGGTTGCATGTCTGGTTGCATGTCTGTGCTTGCATCCAACACCGCACGAAGATGGGAAGCGCAACAATGTTGCTGGCTCTTGATGCGGTGCTTAGATCATTCGATAACACCATTCAATTGAGTCGGAATCATCAGCTGTGCCGAAATGACAGCTCCAGTTCGTGTACTACACGTTGTTCACTCGTTGCCTATGTCTGGTTGCATGTCTGGTTGCATGTCTGTGCTTGCATCCAACACCGCACGAAGATGGGAAGCGCAACTGTTGCTGGCTCTTGATGCGGTGCTTAGATCATTCGATAACACCATTCAATTGAGTCGGAATCATCAGTTGTGCCGAAATGACAGCTCCAGTTCGTGTACTACACGTTGTTCACTCGTTGCCCATGTCTGGTTGCATGTCTGGTTGCATGTCTGTGCTTGACGTCCAACACCGCACGAAGATGGGATGCGCACTGTTGCTGGCTCTTGGATGCGGTGCTTGGATCATGCAATAACACCATTCAATTGAGTCGGAATCATCAGCTGTGCCGAAATGACAGCTCCAGTTCGTGTACTACACGTTGTTCACTCGTTGCCCATGTCTGGTTGCATGTCTGGTTGCATGTCTGTGCTTGCATCCGATTACACCGCACGAAGATGGGATGCGCAACTGTTGCTGGCTCTTGATGCGGTGCTTAGGTCACGCAATAACACCACTTCATTGAGTCGGAACCATCAGCTGTGCCGAAATGACAGCTCCAGTTCGTGTACTGCACGTTGTTCACTCGTTGCCCATGTCTGGTTGCATGTCTGGCTGCATGCTTAGTGGTTGCATCCAACACCGCATGAAGATGGGAAGCGCAACTGTTGCTGGCTCTTGATGCGGTGCTTAGTCATTCAATAACACCATTCAATTGAGTCGGAATCATCAGCTGTGCCGAAATGGCAGCTCCAGTTCGTGTACTGCACGTTGTTCCACTCGTTGCCCATGTCTGGTTTGCATGTCTGGTTGCATGTCTGTGGTTGCATCCAGCACCGCACAAAGATGGGAAGCGCAACTGTTTTTGGATCTTGATGCGGTGCTTAGGTCATGCAATAACACCATTCAATTGAGTCGGAATCATCAGCTGTGCCGAAATGACAGCTCCAGTTCGTTTACCACTCGTTGTTCCTCGTTGCCCATGTCTGGTTGCATGTCTGGTTGCATGTCTGTGCTTGCATCCAACACCGCACGAAGATGGGAAGCGCAACTGTTGCTGGCTCTTGATGCGGTGCTTAGATCATGCAATAACACCATTCAATTGAGTCGGAATCATCAGCTGTGCCGAAATGACAGCTCCAGTTCGTGTACTACACGTTGTTCACTCGTTGCCCGCAATGTCACTGGGTTTGCATGTCTG